ACGGAAAAGCTCGGGTTTTTGGATAGGAACCTATAAAACTTAGAATATTTCTGTCTAAGTGGCTAAATAACTGAATTACTAAGTAACCAGAAAGTAGACACTCCCGAAACTATCTTGAAACACTGTGAAATGCGAATTCTCTAATGCTTGCTAAATTTTTTCCTAATGCAAAGGTGTATCTCCCGCAATGCCGATGAGGTGAAGAATAATTGCTATCTGAAGTATTTATGTTTTATTCACATACCAGTATGCTCCATTTAAGCTCTTCGCGAACAGTTTCAAGAGCACCAATATCATTCCACGTAATATCTGGAACAGTGGCAAATCCTTCACGTTTAGCCGATGGGTCCACCAATACCAGTGCTCTGTTGAAATCTTCCATCGTTATACGAATTTCCCGGAAATCATTATTATCCAATTGTTGTGATAATTCCAGCCAAGTAAGCACTGAAATAATTTTTAAATTCGAAAATCAGCAACAAATCAAATATAGCAAAAGATGAAAGCTAAGCAAAACTCCCTCTACAGCGAAGTATGTATCAAAGTATATCGAAGGATTATTTAAATAACCAACTGAAAATTCCTTTCACTTTTAATAATCGCTTTACATAACATAAATGTTTTGTCGACGACTAGATAACATTAACTTTATATATTACAGCATTAAATTAAACTGAGTTTTGTAGAAATCAAATGAATAGAAAAAAGAATTTTCAAACTCAAGGAATTAAAAGCGAGTCTTACTTTTTTCCAATTCTAACTGGATTTCTCCAATATTTTTCTCCCCATATTTACATATACCTGGTGTTCCGAATTTCCTTAAGAAGAATAGTAATATATAAAAATGATATATTTCTCAATTTCAAAAAAATGCATTCAAGAATCGTGGAAATTACAATATTTTCAATAACAACATGCCCGTTTACTGCTCTTTTCACTGCACATGATGCCGCTTGACTTGACAGAGCTTTAAGATCAGCTCCCACATATCCTGGAGTAAGGCGTGCCAGTTCCTGTAGTATTACTCTCTCATCCAGCCGAAGATCTCTAAAAAGCAAGATGGAGATCACAGAAAACAAAAAATGAAAAGATGAAAAATAAAATTCTCCTGTGTGTCTATTACGATGACAATCACGGTTCGTAACATAATAATAAAAAAAATGAATACTTGCAAACAATCTCTAATATTTTCGATCTGGCACGTTTATCTGGGATTCCCAATGCAATTTCTTTATCAAAACGACCAGCTCGTCGAAGAGCCGGGTCTATAGTTTCGACTCTACTTGTGGTACCTGTAATTGAAACACATGTGCTAGGTCAGTCCACTACAGCCTATCATTTACAAACAAAACTACGATACAGTTTAGCAGCTGGATATTCACCTATTACGAGGACTCGATTTCCTTTATGCATCTTTCTAACTGAAATATCGATATCTATGCTGTTCGTGTTCAATTCTACATCTTTCCTCGGAGTTGACAGATCTAAAATATTGCATTGCGAAATAAAATTACTAAAGATGAACATACAAGTAAGCGACTGAGATTGAACAGTTTATATAATTAAGCTAATGAGCTTTAAGTCGTTATTCACCATCAAGGCAAGCAATAAGCTGTGACACAATACGCCTCTCCATTTCACGTTGTGCGTTATCCCGTTTTGAAGCAATAGCATCGATATCATCCAAAAGTAAGATACACGGTGATGCTTCAATCGCTTTGGTAAATAATAACCGTATTTTCTGCTCGCTTTCACCGGATACTCCAGAAACTAATTCAGTCACTGCCACTTTTAAAATTGGTAGATTGAATTGCTAGAACACAGAAGATTCAAAAGAAAAAGACAAATAATGCCTACACTGCAATATTCAAAATAATTTAAAAGAAAGACAAACATAAAGTGCTAACCCCTGCAACAGCTTGAGCAAACAATGTTTTTCCGCATCCAGGAGGACCATGAAGTAAAAAGCCAGTAGGATGAGTAACTCCAAGCAGATCATCTATTTCTGGATGAAAAAGATGTATGACGAAACTGCAAACTTCCTAAAAATGGAAATGCCTAATTCAACTATTCTAATGAAAGGACAACACAATTTCATACAGGTTCGAAACAAGTTCTTACCAAACATTGTTGTTCGCAACCACCGATATCTGAGAACTTAACGTACGATGCACTAGGTTCTACGTTAATGTCTGCTTTATACAGCGACCCAAACGATGCATATGATTTTCGATGCTTCTTTTGCTGTAAATGCAAAGAAATAGACAAATTTCAAAGTAGGAATGGGAAAATGATAAAGATAATAATGTAAAATGAAGTCGAAAATTCTTACATTAGCTTCTGGTTTGTCGTTAGTAGGACTAATCCTCTTCACAGTTTTCGTCCTAAAAATCTGCTGAGCAATCAAGTGAGCAAAAAGCTGCGGGTAACTCTTTGGCCATTACTATTCTTTTTTCTCCGCAAAATATTGATTACGACAAGTGATAAAGACTCGGTAGATGAAATTTACTGAATGTCCTTTGGCAAAGAATTATTAGCTTGAGATCATCTATCTGTCTTATGAAGATGGGAGAAAATGAGATGGCTGATGATACCAACATTAGCTTCCGCTTTCGTTCTATTGCTGACATGTCATTCGATTCATTTGTTAGATCGATTACGCCATCCACCACGTTAGCATTCTTTATCTTTCCAAGCCCAATTTCTACTGACTTCAAGAAATCGCGAAATTTCCGTCGTGCATATTCTCTAAATCAATTGCTTTCGATAACAACAAAGATTATAGCAATAGGTAATTTAAATTTAAAAATGATGAAATTAAAGTGAACCAACGGATAAGTCTGCTGAAGATAATGGGCAACATCCTCTGCATCACATGCTTCGTTTGCTTGCCAAACCTATAACAACTTCTTATATATCATTAACATTTACTATTTGCTATGAGGTAATATAGTATGCAATAAATGACACAAAAACAGAAAAAAGTGCTACAAAATTTAAAACCTACGTCACGAATGCGTGGTACGAGACGCGGATCGGATCGGAAACCGGAGCTGGCTTTCCTGGCTTGCATCATAGCGCCTGCAACAGTATTCAAGCACACCTTCAATGAATCCTTCAGACGTGACTCATAAAAGTAACACCCCTCACCTTGTCACTCACATGTAAGAACCAAAGCTCACATCCCCCTCACAAATAATCCTCCATGCTTCAAACTATGCAGACATTGTCAAAGTTATTCAGCGAAACAGTCATCGGCTGGTTTCTGCTGATTTGGTTTCCTATTTAAATAGAGATCGTTCCCGAGAGGGATATGAGGCCAAAGGAAGAGCCTTGAGCCTAAAAGGCCTGAAATCTCCAATTGCTTCTTTATTTTTTTTTTCGCTTTATGCCTTGCATTTGCATGGCTTGAAATAATAACATGCTTATTACGTTGAAATTGGACCTAATTTAAAAGCAGGTTTCAGCGTGGTTTTGCAGAATGTTTATATATCAGCTAAAATTATTATCTTTCGTCCGGAACGGATATTTATTATATCTCTTTCGACATATGTAATTAAATACGAGTAAGTATTATTATTATTTTTTATTTTTTGAACTTTTTTGTTATTGATTGAAGCTTTTCCCGTGTATCAGAATGCTTTTGTGTACTTATTTCCTTAATTATGCAGAGTGATGTTGAATAGGAAGATGTTTTGTTGCTTTTGTATTCACTTAACTGTCATCGTTTCTGCTACCGCTCGTCTTTCTTAGCCATTACTTCACATTTAATTTATGGTATATTTAAAGGGAGTAATATTCAGATGCAAGATAGGAATCTTGGAGAGATCGGGATGAAAATCTTACGACTTTCTGAGAAGGGAAGTTTAAATAGTTCGGAAATGGTGAGCAATGATTATTTCCTGAGTTTGAAAATGTTATCTGCCAGCGGATTGATAACATGACATGAAAACAGAGGCTTTGGATATAATAGCATTTGCCCTTGCGTTGACATCGAAATTAAAATATTCCTAAAAGAAAGAATTCAAAGCATCACAACACAAGTTAATGAAGGACTTCAATCAAGTTAAGAAGTCATGATTTGAGTGAAAATTTTACGGCATATAACAAGTAATGATAATAAACTATAAACAAACCACATGCTGAAAATAGCTCCTTTGCTGTGCATGTGAAAGAAATTCAGTTTGTGCGAGAAATTTAGGATAACTTTTCAGAAGAATATAGCATGATTGTCTCAGTGAATGCAGATATCTTTTGCACGACAGAACAACCCGTACCATTAATGTCTTTCAAAACAAAAATTAGTAGTTTTATTTCCGATGAATGCGGTATCGCACTGAAATTCCTTTTTAAAATGATGCTTGCATATGCACTCAAGCATAGGCAAAAGTCCGACAATACTTCCCTACTGGAATATTTATTCCTGTATTAGTGTATTAGATTCGGTAATCCATTACTCATTTATATTGTATAGGATGCCTAATTAAACTAAATATGTTTAAAACAAAAAATATATTTCAACTTTTAATTAATCATTTCAGAATTTCTGGTAACCCAAAACGAATGTGGTCTATTCAAGATGATATGGAAGCCAAAAATTTCATAATGGACATAGTTTCAGTATGAGGTGTATGGAACAAGAGATTATATGACAATTCCAATCCCGATCTTTTGATCCCCAAAAATTCAAAGAATGGAGAGGATGGAGTGATTCAATTGGAGGAAATATGGCGATGAGTGGATATAATTATTATTCGATGCCAGTTTATTATAAAGCATCAGTTACACAGGTAAGTCTTGCTAGCTATTATTATTTCATGCATTACTAAGGTTGTGGAAAAGTCACCTTACATTTTATTTTACCTCTTACCTGATGGATCTCGTACGTGAAATATTTTAGACTACGCCAGCAGCAACAGGGAGTGATTCAATTGGAGGAAATGCGGCGATGAGTGGATATAATTATTATTCGATGGAAGAAATAGGAAATTTCATAAGCCATGGAAGAAATAGGAAATTTCAAAGTGGTTGAAATGCTAGAAACGGAGATATCATCTAAACTTAAAAAGTTACCTAAACCAATTGGTTATGAACGCGGGCTTTTATTGGCTCAAAGGAATCACAAGGACTCTCCAGGTTTGTTTGTTGTAAAGTTTTTATTTACAACTTTTTCCTTACATGAGAGATTGTTTATGATTAAATAATAAATTTTCAGGGTTTTCTAAGGAAGACACTGAGCAAAACGCAGACGTTCCACTAGCTGATTCAGAATCCTGGATACCATGGTTGGATGATCGATTAGAAAGAGCGGTTGCCGAAGTATTTAATTTTAAACCATTAGGTATTTTTTATTTATAATAGTAATGAATGATTTTTTTGCAATTTACAATTTTATTTTCTCTTGCTTTTGATTAAATAAATTTATAACGAATCGTTTGACAGTCATCTGAAATAGCAATAAAAACACCGTTAACTTATTTAGAAGACTTTTGGATGTCACTGAGGAATATTCACGTGGAAAATGAAATGACTATAATATTAAGCAATACACAAACTGCTGAGGAAGTGAGTCGCGAATCAGCAGGTACCAATAATTAGTAAATCAATTATTAACGGTTGTGTTCCAGTAAAAATCATATTGAAACGTAATATTCATTTCTTTAGATTCAACGTCTCCGGATAGATCAGAGAATGATAATGATGATGAGACGTTGACAACATCCACTCCTGCTGAATCGAACACGATATTATCCGAAACAGCAGCAACAGCTGTAGTTTTATCACAATCAGGAATTACACAAACTACAACTACCGCTTCCGTAGCATTTGAAAGTGAACAAACGGAGCAATCATCTGCGCCGGATCAGATAGTAGCAAGTGTAGCAGCAAATAATGCATTAAACAGGCAAGAATATATTATAATTTGTTCCTTGCAAATTATTTGCTGTAAATGAAGGATGATCAATTTAACATTTACAATCAATAATTATTAACATATTAACAATAAAAGAGTTTCAGGGAAGAATTCATTTGGAATTTGGATGCACCGCCATTTGTATCACACAATTTAATTAATAATCTGTCTTGTCCAATACTGAATGGAATTCGAACTAGCGATGCACTACTACCGATTTTATCCACACCTATCGTAAATTCATCGCATCGTCAAAATTTCACTTCAATCGATCAAATCACCTTAGCTATTCAGGTAAACATTTTATATTGTTTTAAGCTAAATAATTAGTTACTCATACTTCATTAATTGAACACTTTAAATTTCTGTCAATTTCTGCGAATATTAAACGGTTTGATTTGAACAATAAAATTTCACGATGACAAATTGATGAACATTATCAATTTTAGAGTCGACCGTCAATTGTGCATGCTAAGCCATCACAATCACGAAATTTCCCATTTGTACAAAGAAGTGGAGATGGTATTGTCATGCCAGCTTGTTATAGTGGGCAATTTCAGCAAGTTGGTTCTTTTATGTAATCAATGCATTATCAAGTTTTTATCTATTAAAGCTTCTTTATCTAGTAATGAAAAATCAACGATAAATTTTGTTATATCATCTCTTACCTAAAACACAGATGGATCTCGTACGTGAAATATTTTAGATTACGCCAATGGCAGCAGCAGCAACAACAACGAGTGGTTCAATTAGAGGAAATGTGGCGATGAGTGGATATAATTATTATTCGATGCCAGCTTATTATACAACATCAGTTACACAGGTAACTATTGTAAGCTATTGTAATTTTTTCTTTATTGGTAGTCATTTTGTTATTTTATGCATTACTGGAGTTCTCGCCATGCCATATTTTTATTGCTATGTATATTATATGATAATTATATTTTCTTATAATAATTATATTTTCTTTCGAGATCCTTTACCGACATGTTGAATATGTATTACAAATGATGAGTTATTAAGCAGCAGTAAATATAAGCATAAATAAAGTCAATAAATACAAGTATAAATAAAGTAGTGCAACAGTGGAAAAATATAGTACTTCTTTTTTTTTTGTTTTTTCATCTATAAAAGTGGCAGCATTACTTGAATTTATCGATGTTTATATATGATCTTGATTGTATTTTTTATTGTTTCTAGATATGTGCGCAAAATTTGCACATAATTCACTACTGTTTATTGTTTGATGCTTATATATATATATATATATATATATATATTTTTACGTGTACAATCGGGAACTGTACTATATTTTTCCACTATTGCACTACTTTATTTATACTTGTATTTATTGACTTTATTTATACCTATATTTACTGCCGCTTAATAACTCATCATTTGCAATACATATTCAACATGTCGGTAAAGGATCTCGAAAGAAAATATAATTGTTTTTCACTACTTTATTACCTTATACTTGTATTTATTGATTGTATTACATTGATCTTTTTGCAAATGAAGTTGCTGCCACTTAATCACTCGTTTGCAATACATATTCGGTACGTCGGAATAAAAAAAATAACGAATGCTGGAGGTGGTGAAGGGGAACTTCCATTCTCTCCATCCTTTGAATTTTTGGGGATCAAAAGAAAACATACCGGCATTTGATAATAACCAGACATCGAAATACCGTATCCACTTGGTTGTCCAATATTTCCACTTGCACCGTATAAAATGGAAATGAATGGAAAATATTATAATACAAATATAATATGTTGTAATTTTTCAACACCACTGCACGTAATATAGACATAGCAATAAAAATATGGCATGGCGAGAACTCCAGTAATGCACAAAATAACAATAACTACCAAAAAAGAAAAAATTACAATAGCTTACAATAGTTACCTGTGTAACTGATGTTGTATAATAAGCTGGCATCGAATAATAATTATATCCACTCATCGCCACATTTCCTCTAATTGAACCACTCGTTGTTGTTGCTGCTGCTGCCATTGGCGTAATCTAAAATATTTCACGTACGAGATCCATCTGTGTTTTAGGTAAGAGATGATATAACAAAATTTATCGTTGATTTTTTCATTACTAGATAAAGAAGCTTTAATAGATAAAAACTTGATAATGCATTGATTACATAAAAGAACCAACTTGCTGAAATTGCCCACTATAACAAGCTGGCATGACAATACCATCTCCACTTCTTTGTACAAATGGGAAATTTCGTGATTGTGATGGCTTAGCATGCACAATTGACGGTCGACTCTAAAATTGATAATGTTCATCAATTTGTCATCGTGAAATTTTATTGTTCAAATCAAACCGTTTAATATTCGCAGAAATTGACAGAAATTTAAAGTGTTCAATTAATGAAGTATGAGTAACTAATTATTTAGCTTAAAACAATATAAAATGTTTACCTGAATAGCTAAGGTGATTTGATCGATTGAAGTGAAATTTTGACGATGCGATGAATTTACGATAGGTGTGGATAAAATCGGTAGTAGTGCATCGCTAGTTCGAATTCCATTCAGTATTGGACAAGACAGATTATTAATTAAATTGTGTGATACAAATGGCGGTGCATCCAAATTCCAAATGAATTCTTCCCTGAAACTCTTTTATTGTTAATATGTTAATAATTATTGATTGTAAATGTTAAATTGATCATCCTTCATTTACAGCAAATAATTTGCAAGGAACAAATTATAATATATTCTTGCCTGTTTAATGCATTATTTGCTGCTACACTTGCTACTATCTGATCCGGCGCAGATGATTGCTCCGTTTGTTCACTTTCAAATGCTACGGAAGCGGTAGTTGTAGTTTGTGTAATTCCTGATTGTGATAAAACTACAGCTGTTGCTGCTGTTTCGGATAATATCGTGTTCGATTCAGCAGGAGTGGATGTTGTCAACGTCTCATCATCATTATCATTCTCTGATCTATCCGGAGACGTTGAATCTAAAGAAATGAATATTACGTTTCAATATGATTTTTACTGGAACACAACCGTTAATAATTGATTTACTAATTATTGGTACCTGCTGATTCGCGACTCACTTCCTCAGCAGTTTGTGTATTGCTTAATATTATAGTCATTTCATTTTCCACGTGAATATTCCTCAGTGACATCCAAAAGTCTTCTAAATAAGTTAACGGTGTTTTTATTGCTATTTCAGATGACTGTCAAACGATTCGTTATAAATTTATTTAATCAAAAGCAAGAGAAAATAAAATTGTAAATTGCAAAAAAATCATTCATTACTATTATAAATAAAAAATACCTAATGGTTTAAAATTAAATACTTCGGCAACCGCTCTTTCTAATCGATCATCCAACCATGGTATCCAGGATTCTGAATCAGCTAGTGGAACGTCTGCGTTTTGCTCAGTGTCTTCCTTAGAAAACCCTGAAAATTTATTATTTAATCATAAACAATCTCTCATGTAAGGAAAAAGTTGTAAATAAAAACTTTACAACAAACAAACCTGGAGAGTCCTTGTGATTCCTTTGAGCCAATAAAAGCCCGCGTTCATACCAATTGGTTTAGGTAACTTTTTAAGTTTAGATGATATCTCCGTTTCTAGCATTTCAACCACTTTGAAATTTCCTATTTCTTCCATGGCTTATCTATCTAAATAATATATTTACAGTTTTCATTGTTTTTATTTAAATATAAATTGTTTAACTATATGTTTTTTAAAAAAGTTTTCATTGTTTTTATTTAAATATTTTGAAAATACGAAAATGCGTAGTTGAAATATTTGCTTCGAAATAAGGATGGAATGAATGCATTAAGTATGAAATGATATGACGTATTGTCGAACATTGTAAAGGATACTTTAGTCATCTAATCGTTAATTAAGCATTATCCCTGTTTGACCTTTACAGTGATGGAGTATATGTGATGGTCGTTGAGAAATTACTAATTGTGAATATGCAGATGAAAAATTTAATTTGACAATGAAAAATATACGAAAGAAAGTGATAGATTTAGTTCTTATCTACACTAAATAAATTCACCAGGGTGCAAGAAAATGAACCAAAAAAAAGCAATTCGATGAGTTAATTGAAATAAACGGAAGTGTGAATAGAATTAATAGAATTGTTACACAATTGTCACAATTGTCATTAAAAGAATCCATCCTAATACTTACTGATGATAAGAAATTATTTATTGAAAGGAAAAGTGTGCAAATAATAGAATAGGTATGATCCTTTTTGAAGCATTGTAATGAGAAATATGTGAAAATGAAAATTCCTACATCATTCTCACATTTGCAGGAAGGAAGATAATCCGAGGCATCTAATTATGCTTCTATAGAAGATATACTTTACAAACAATAATCCAAATATTAGCCAATCGTAGCTTTTCAGAAAGAATTTTCTCATTCAGAATTGTTAATTGACAATTAAAATTGACTCGAAAATGAAATATAGTAAATTTCTGAAATTTCTTTCAGTTTCATTTCCCTACCGTATGCCATGTCTATTCATAGGGCAGATTTGATTGGCTGAAGAAAGTTAGAAATAAAAATTTTAATTTTTCATCCGGCAAAACCTCATCATCCTTACACAGCAGTTTTACTTCAACCTTTAAACGAAAGAATTGTAGAATGCGACCATACCTGTAAAAAAGAGAACAAAAATCGATAGGTATTTTGAACACGAGATCCCGCCCACTTGAGATAGTCGGGAGAGAAAAAAACCTTAACCGCAAACAATTTTCAAATGAGATGTGCAATATAAATCCCATTTTTAAATCGTTTCATAAAACGAATATATTGTTGAGTTAAAATATGAGCATGGAAATACTGTATGAATTCAAATTCAGTCTAGAAACTAAAAATAAAATTAAAATAATCGAAATAATTTTGAATCTGAAATCTAAATTTTGAAAATAAAGTTAAAATTAAAAAAAGGAAAATAAAATAATCTTATTGCCAATTTCGCATTAGAAAACATTATGGATTTCTATTGAATTTCAGGAGAATTTAAAAAAAATACAATTTGTCCTTTTCATTCTTACTGATATTTTGTTTTGAGACCTTTAATCCGAAGAAATGTAAAAAGCTTTTTAAATTTTGATGAGTTCAAAGTGAATTGTAGTGCGATTTTAATAAGATCGGTGTTACAAAAGTGTAGATAAAATATATGTAATGAGCAAATAAAAATATTATGCTGATTTGCAAGAATTAATTTGAAATTAATTTAATCACCAAATATTCACTTCCGCCATAATAAAACTTCGACAAAGTGAATGGAACATTATGTTCAAATGTAAATACTTATTCAGTTTTTTATTACATATCAATTTTAATTAACTTATTAGTTTTCACTCCTGAAAGATTTGTAGTCGGTTCAATCCTTAATTCTTCATTTGACCTCCCTAAGAGGTCATAGGGCAGTAGATTAAAAGGGCTTATTAATTAAATACTACATAAACTTCAATTTGTTCTTTCCTTTATCAAACATCATGTTCACTATGATACAGTCACTGATGATATCTAATACTTGTTAGAAATGTTTGTTACCTCAAATCTAACAGATCTCTCCTGATTCAATTGCAAATTATCACGCAGAAGTAATCATATTTCGACAACTAAGAAAGATCCTTGTTGTTGTAGTTCATCTTTAAGAGAATTGCAAAATGTTCTCTTTGAAAGAGAAGTATTAATGGGTTTGATTATTGCATTAGAACAGCTCTGATGGATATTAGTTTAATTCATATTAAAATTTGAATTAACTCAATAGTATCGAAAAGAAACAGAATCATTTTTCCCAGTAAATAACTCTTTTGATCTTAGTTAAATCAATAGATGAAAGAAGCAAACAGTAGAAGAAGTTAAGAATGGAGGTGAATTGTATGTCCTTCCGCATCAAAAATTTTCCCTCTCTCTCCCTTCCCCCTAGAGGAAATGTTTGTTGCGCGGATGACAATCTCTCAAATCCACAAAAATATTTTATTAATGCATATCGATCGATTGGCAAATGCCATGATGAAACCAATTTAGAAAAATTAAATACATTTTCTGTGCATAACAGCTAAGGTCTGAGGAAATAAAAAACGGTGGTGCAAAGCAATGGAACTAGTCTGTAACGGATGCGATACGTTTTACTACGACAGGGTCTAACGGATGGCCCATGCGTGACATTTTGTCCAATGTCTCCAATAGTCATTCGATCATAATAAGTAGTCAAAAGGTCTAGGACAACACCATTTGTCCATCCAAAACCATCCTGGAAAAAAAAGAAGAAAACGTCTGATTGTGATGAAGTGATAAACTGATCGAAATAAGTGCATAAATATTTCATCGAAATAAAATGAATTTCATAAGTGGAATACCTGTACGTCATACTCGCCACCAGCTCCTGGCTTGGGAATTGTTCCAGTAACATCAATCTAAACAAACAGGAATGAGTGTTAAGATGAACTAATTGTCAAGTTTCACTTGTGGATAAGATATCCAGTCTCTACTGATATCAATAATTGTTACTGGCACTGATGAAAAATGAATGGAGTAGTACGCAAAAGTTGTTATAAAATGAACTTCTCGAAAAGATCAGTAGTTGAGTCTAAGCTAGGAATTAGGTCTATTAACTTTATTTATGCGTAATTATGACTCGAAAAGCCAAGACAAACTTTTTCCCACATTTTTTTGGTTGTATTATATATCTTGTAATTGGCTAATATCCATTTTCGTGCCAATTTGAATGCCTGTAAGAGTCTTATAATGAACCATTATTGATTTCAGAGCTTTTAAAATGCTCACCAAAATTTAAAAAGAATATATCGGCGATTTTGGATTGTTACACAAATGATTATTCCATGTTAATTTACCATTTCCTGAGCTTCGGGATTGTCGGATTTCCGCATCCCTTCAATGATTATGTGTTGCAAGGGAGGCCAACCGTTCGGCAAATCCCATTGCTGTCCAGTATTCTTTAGGCTTGCCGGTATACCACTTGGATAATTGAAAACATTTGATTCCTACAATAAGCTGCTAATGAATGCAAAGTGTCAGAGATAATAGCAGGAAAAGTTCGAATTCAAAACAAAATTTCTGTTATTTCGATTGATGTAGCACTTCATTGATCATTCATCAAATTCCACACCAGTTTTGTTGGCGCAATTGTCTTACAATGTATATTTGACAATTCTATGAAACTCACATTCATAAAGTCAATAACTTTTGTCGATTTACCGTAATCCAACATTGTATAACAGCCCGTGAATAGAGGCATTGCAACGGTTGGGTAGAACAAGGTATTATGTGATTTGATGCGGAAATTGTAGTCGAACCAAGCCTTTTTCAATTTATTGTAAAATATGGCATTTAAGGCTTTCCGAGCTTCTTGTCCTTTCTTCTCAAATTCCTCTGCCTTCTGTGTATTACCTGTTGTAATTGATATTATTACTTGCACTGCTGCAAGTGCAAGGAAGCAATGGGAAATATACCGATGATATTAGCAAAGTATTTGAGAATATTGACATTCCAACAGAGCAGTGAATTCAGATCGACCGGTAAAATATTAGTTGTTTCAATGGTTTTCATTGTATTTCTATCTCTGAACCATCGAGACGAAAAGTCCCAACCGGATTCCGCCGCTGATGCAATATCCTGCAAAATAGCTCTGCTATCAATTGTCGCCACTACTCACTCACACACAATTTACAACACTATTTCGTCTCTGTTAGCGTTCAATGAGAATTTCACCTGAAAATAACAAAAATAGTTTCATAACACTCTGCAAGCGATCGACTTACAGTGCTTCGACTTACAGCGATCGACTTACAGTGTTTTCAGGATATTCCTTTATTCTATTTTATTATATGAATATTAATACCTGAAAGAATTTCTGCCTGTCGTTTTTCCCAACTTCTACTGCAGCTTGAATATCAGCTCGGAATGATTCCGGACGAGGTACATTTGAAATAGTACGATACTGATATATTTTGTGTTTATATCCCTTCTCATCCATCACTGATATTGACCTGACCTTACATTTTCCATTTATTTTTTATACTTCTATCGCTCAACTTTTCAGAATCAATTGACATTCGAAAACGACATATTGGCACTGCATCAGAGATCATAGATCTATGTAAGTTGCATTATCAGCACACCAGTTGATCGTTCCCATGAGAATTGAGAGAAAAGTTTGGTTTAAAAATCTCTGAGAAGTTATTTTACTTATTAATAAATCTTGAGTACATTCATCCACTGATCATATTTACCTGTTTTGAACCCAAAATTCATATTCTTTTACAAGGTGATTGAAATTTTCCTTTATGAATTCAATATCTCCCGTGGCTTCGTAATATTCGTACATCATTGGGGTGAGAAATGGTGGTTGTGAACGTCTCAAATAATAGATACGTCCACCGTTCGGTACAAATCCAAACCTAAAAGGAAAGACTATTCTGAAAATGCACAATAATTTGATTAGATTAGCAGTTCTGAAGCTATGCCAGGACTGATATTCAGTAAGCTATTCCGGTTGATAGGAAAAGAAAAGTCTCAAGGAACAACAATCGTAGAAAACAGTGAGAATTATGATTCCTTCTCCAATAAATGCTACACTCTACCACAAATTACTTCAGTCTGCTGTACGAAATAATTTCCGAGAAATTTTCTCTGGTTGGTCACACACAATGATCACATTAAACCATTGTTTTTTTTTTTTTTTATTCGGTAAAAGATCTACCACAGTTTGTTTCTGATCTAAGCTACTTTTTATATGTTGACAATCCTGTTTTTTTGATGTCTATTTTAGATCAGAAATTATTATTATTATTATTATAGTTGCTGTTGTTGTCAGAATTGCTATTATTATTATTAATAATTAGATTTGTATTTAGTGGAGGTTTCGCCTATGAAATAAATATTAATGATGAAACATAGGTCATTAATAATTTGTTAATTCGAAGCAACAAAAACTCATTTTTTGACACAATGGATGAAGTTCTTCAGCATATTCCTGACCATTACGAGTAGGTCACTTGCAATTAAACCTTTCACAATCCAATATGCGTCCCAATAATAAAATTCCCTGAATCGACCACCTGGGACAATGAATGGATGGGGTACTTCGATCAGGGAATTCTGTTTAGGATTCTCGATTCTAGTCATCTTAAAATATATAAATTGATCTTTCACCTTTGATCCCAAATAAGTTTGACCCCAAATAATTAGTTCCTTGAAGGACAAATAATGTTTCGTTTCTTACTTGTCTGCATAGATCTTTCCATCTTTGATTCAAAAATAGTGCAAAACGTTTCAGGTTTTCATCCTTTATCCTAGCAATTTTCGGTGGTAATTCCTTCCATTCCGGAATAACGCAACCCTTCAATTCCGTGCCTGGCTCACCAAAAAAGCGATTTCGAAAATTTATAAGCTTCTGCACACTAATATTTGCTATCTTTGTCTTTCCGAATTCCTTTTTAAATTCTTGTAAAACCACGTCTGAAACCCGTGAAGTGCATAATCATCATTTAAACGTAGAGTCGCCACCTCCGGCAAAAATATGGAAATGACACCACTTGTTACGAAGATCTGATGAATACATTTTTGCCGTATCTTACAAGGCATTCACTTTTTTTTTCTGATTTAAAATACCAAATAAATTCTTGAAAATCTGAAACTTTGTTTCTACCGGGATCGGCTTTCAACGGTCTGTCGACGAATGTTTTTGAATCCATTTCCACCTGATGCAAATTCATTGCGGTGAGTATAGGACCACTGCAGTATATGTTCCTGCAATTTGAGAAGGAAGTTGGATTTGACTTGGCACTTGGCAGGTTTTGCAATTAGTACTAGGCCAAGCTGAAGTCGACACATTCTTGGACTATTAGAAATTCTGGAATCTAAGAGTGGTTGAAGATAATTTGAATTGGGTGAAAGTAGCAGAATGCAATGTAATCATTTTCTGATTAAATTGCAAATCTGTTTATCATCTTTGATTGGCTAACAATCTTGTCACAAACCAATTTGCAATTTTATCGGTTTCGTCGCACACTTCGTTGTTTTTCTGTTTTGTGCTCTCAATATCTGCTATCACCTTATCGAGTTCTAGAATAGATGGTTGTGATAAGAAGACGGATCTTATCAACGTAACCATTATAAATAGAAGGCGAATGCAAATTATGTAGTGCCGCATTCTGAAATATTGATTTGTGAGATTTCAACAGAAAATCTATTTGTTAATGGCTTCACTTTAAATCATGGGATGACCGATGACCATCGATCAGTCTCCAATACTAAACTTATGTTTACTTTCCATTTCTATTATCCACTGGATGAACTGATTACATCCTTCCATGAATCTGCATTTATGTGATGTTTCTTGCCGATGAAAAATTTTGTTTAGGATGTAAAGAAGGCAGGAAGGTAAAGAACTAATTAAAAAGCTAAAATTCTTAGCTTAATTAACTAATTATATTAAAATCAAAGTGTATAGAACCTTTATATTGTCTGATATCAGTGAACTGTAATTGTCTTTAATAGAGAGACAAGACAACCTGAAATCACCTGCACAACCGCTCATAAATTGCGGCACATAAAGAACTATTCGCTTGCAAGATACTCAAATATTTTTATATTAACAAATTTTATTTAACTCTTCATTATTCTGAAATTTGCATAGACTGCAATAAATCCCATCTTTACCACTTTTTATTCATTTGAAGCTGTGAAACAATTGTTTTTGTTTTGAAAATGGATCTAAAGTTAAGAAGCAAACGCTAACAAATTTCTGCACTGCAGAAATGATTTCATTTTGAGATCTAAACTTATACTTTGAACGAATAGCTAAAAACTTTTACTCCACTTTATTATTTGTTCAAGTAAAGGAGGGAATAGTTTTGAGTACAAAAAGTAGAGAGGAAGTAAGGGTAGTAAAAACTGTCACAAAGAGAAGAGGGATACTCTCTTGTGTTTTCTAAAACGTATACACTTTCTTCAGCAATTTCAAATATTTCAAATTGTAGTAAATTTCTGATTGTATTTGGAAATCTTTAAATTCATTTCTGTGAATTCCACAAATTTAAAAAGTAGTATGTGTAATGCTGGAGTGCACAGTGCTTTTCCTTCAGAAAGTTTGCCAAATATAAGAATCTCAAGTATTTACAATGTCTTGTTGAAACAACAGCAATTAACTCAAAAAACAATTAACTCAACCAATAAGATAATCAACTTTCAACTGATTTAGTGGATCGATTTTAAAGAAACAGATTTAAAGAAATTGTGTTATTAATGAAAAAGTTTTTAAAGAATAAAAAAAAATTAAAAAGACAAACAAGTTTCGCAAAAAATTTATGCATGGTCAATTAATGAAAAATTGAAGTATTTGGTAAAGAGAAGAAATAAAAAGAAGGAAAAGTGAATAAGAAAAGTGCAAGGCAAAAAAGGAAAAATGTTTGCAATTAAAACTTAATTTTTTACTTTTGAAATCACAACTTAATTTTAATTAAGTTGAAAAACAAACAAACAAACAACTATCTTAGATTAGGATTAAATGAAAATGATTGCAAAAAATTGCATAAAACAGTGCAATCTGAATAATTTTGTTTTTTTATTGGTGATTTTTTTTTTAAAGTGTCAACAAATATAAAATTTGCACTTTAAAAGGGACGATAAAACAACATTATTCAAAACAGGTGTAAAGTGATATTAAAACATGTACTTTAAATTGAAGTGCTACACAAAAATATGTATTTAAAAACAGACGAATATTTTATAATTATACAAAAGTATGAGAAAAATTACAAATGTATTTTTCAAACATATGAAAAAACTTGCATAAACATATATCTACAGTGAAAAAACTCTGGATGATCCTTATATCAAAGATAAACAGAACTGTTAGGACAACTGAATACCGGATCTGACATTGATACCAAACGAGCCTGAAGTGTTATCCAGCAAAAACATAATAATAATAACTATAATAAATTAAAAATAGACATAGAACAATAGTTCAACTCATTTAACACTTACCAGTAAAATCAACAGTTGGATGAGATTGCGGCAAACGAGATATCACGTAATTCTGAAAAATATATCACTACAAATCAAAATTAAAAAAAAATGAAAATATTATTTCACACAAATCGACTTTCATTCACACTATAATGTGCAAATAATAGGCCAATTTATGTGATAGAATGCAACTTTTCTCTTGGCTATGATTCACTGTCGCATGAATACATGAAAAGGAGCTATGAAATTATTTTTTGATAAGAATTTTATAAATGCCCATAGAGTGAAGACAACAAAACATACGACGGAATGATCACCCTGATATAGCTGTCGTGGAAAACCATTCGGCTGTTGAGTCTGAGTCTGTAAAGTAAATGGAGAAAAATATTTGATATAAAGAAATATTCAACATTCAGTAATTATACATATTTGCATCAAAAATTGACTTTCAGCATCATATCGGAATGTGAAAATACGTTAATTTATAACAAAGTAATTATGCAATACGAAATCAATTAATATCATGTAATCGTTAATTAAGCATTATCCCTGTTTGACCTTTACAGTGATGGAGGAGTATATGTGATGGTCGTTGAGAAATTACTAATTGTGAATATGCAGATGAAAAATTTAATTTGACAATGGAAAATATACGAAAGAAAGTGATAGATTTAGTTCTTATCTACACTAAATAAATTCACCAGGGTGCAAGAAAATGAACCAAAAAAAAGCAATTCGATGAGTTAATTGAAATAAACGGAAGTGTGAATAGAATTAATAGAATTGTTACACAATTGTCACAATTGTCATTAAAAGAATCCATCCTAATACTTACTGATGATAAGAAATTATTTATTGAAAGGAAAAGTGTGCAAATAATAGAATAGATATGATCCTTTTTGAAGCATTGTAATGAGAAATATGTGAAAATGAAAATTCCTACATCATTCTCACATTTGCAGGAAGGAAGATAATCCGAGGCATCTAATTATGCTTCTATAGAAGATATACTTTACAAACAATAATCCAAATATTAGCCAATCGTAGCTTTTCAGAAAGAATTTTCTCATTCAAAATTGTTAATTGACAATTAAAATTGACTCGAAAATGAAATATAGTAAATTTCTGAAATTTCTTTCAGTTTCATTTCCCTACCGTATGCCATGTCTATTCATAGGGCAGATTTGATTGGCTGAAGGAAGTTAGAAATAGAAATTTTAATTTTTCATCCGGCAAGATTTTTTGTTCCATATTAAAGTTCCAAATCAAAAGGTCTTAAAAGATATTTGATCATAACTTCTTCTACTTATTAATTACTATTGAGATTGCTTCAGCAAATGAATTAATTAGCGTCAAATCTCTATAGTGCATCTAGAAAAATGTATAGAAAATTATAATAGCAGTGCCTTCGTACCTTGAAAAAAAAATGAGAAAATGATTTGTGAATTTCTAAAGGAAAAAATGACAACTTCATAGTGACTTGCCTAAAATTCCTTCCTGGTATTTCATGTTCGTATTTCCACAACCTCTCTCATTCGTTTCCGATATCCGGAATTATGTCACGAGTCTGAATTCCATCCACCAATTATTTCATAAAAAAGTATATTATTGAGTTGAAATATGAACTTAGCAAGCTGTATGAGTTCAAATTCAATCTTAAAAATAAAAAATTAAGATGATCAGCTGAAAATAAAGTTAATAATCTTATTGTCAAATCTGTACTAGCAAACATTGTGACAGACATTTCTATTGGATTTCAGAAAGATGTAAAAAATTTGTGCTTTTCATTCTTACTGATATTTTGCTTTGAGACCTTTAACCCCAAGAAATGTAAAAAACTTTTTGAGTTTTGATGAGTTCAAAGTGAATTGTAGTGCGATTTTAATAAGGTCGGCGTTACAAAAGTATAAATAAAATATATGTAATGAGCAAATAAAAGTATTATACTGATTTGCAAGAATTAATTTGAAATTAATTTAATCACCAAATATGCATTTTCGCAATAATAAAACTTCGACAAAGTGAATGGAACATTATGTTCAAATGTAAATACTTATTCAGTTTTTTATTACATATCAATTTTAATTAACTTATCAGTTTTCACTTCTGAAAGATTTGTAGTCGGTTCAATTCTTAATTCTCCATTTGACCTCCCTAAGAGGTCATAGAACAGTAGATCAAAATTTCAGTCATTTATTGATCAATCAGTGTTCAGTCAGTATCCTTTTGAAGCTAATCAATTCGCATTTTTTTTTTAGTAATTTTTTTCTTTTTAGTTCTTTTAGTGCGACAATTTTTCATTAAATTAAATAGTTATATATATGTGTGTGTGTAAAATGTTTGTTCAAATCGATTGTTATTTGGATATGCAAATTTTGCTAGTCAAATATATCTTTCAATCCAAAAATTTTTCTTGACTTTTCTAATATATAATTTAATTGAAACTTACACAAGTTGGTTTCATTATTTAATACACCCAACTCTTTCTACTGCATAAAACAATCCATTAGTAAAACCAAAAATTCAACAATTGTTATTGAATTCAAAAATTTCCACAAAATCTGTTGTTGACAGTAAAAATGTTATTATTTGCACAAAATGAAAAGAAAAAAAAAGAACTGATCACAAGTCATACACGTGTATAGGCTTAAATTATTCAAAGATGATTCATCCTATTCTCGAAAATAGTATTATTTATAATAAATCATTGCAATATGAAATAAATAAATTTTTATTTATTATTCTGTTTCATTTTAGACATGTTTTAACAACAGTTTTTTTGAGCACTTCAACTGTTATAAAAACAATGTGCCAAATGTTTTCTGTGTTACATCAATTTGCCTTCTGTTTTCTCCATTTCATTTCTGTTGCTTTGTCGTACAGAAAACAGTTATGATTTCAGTTTCAGTTTGTATATTAATTTCATTTTGCTGCTGATTTTACTTTAAATGTTAAAATTTTATTGTCATTACTATTATTATTATTATTATTATTATTATTATTATTGTTATTATTATTATTATTATTATTATTATTATTATTATTATTATTATTATTATTATTATTATTATTATTATTATTATTATTATTATTATTATTATTATTATTATTATTATTATTATTATTATTATTATTATTATTATTATTATTATTATTATTATTAATGACTGATCTTTCAGGAATAGAAAAATGATAAAAATGAATGAGAAATATGTTAAAGAATTGATACTACTGCTGTTGTTCGCTATGATATATACATCGTTAGAATCGAACTGTGAATTTTGGATCGAAGATGATTTTCATCCATTTGTGCCAAAATCAGAGGAAGCACGAGAAGAATATTGCGGTTTCTTTAAACAAATGAATTTGTCCAGAAATGAGTTAATGGATACAATCAGAAAATGGGCATCAAAATATGGAGTTTTGGTCAGTATTTTTCAAGATAAGATTATCTGCCTAGGACTATCTTATTTGATACACTTTACATTAAAATAAAATGAAATGTTTCTTTTAATAATTTTATCAAAAATTATTAAAATTAGATCATCTTGTCAATGTTATTAATGATTAGATAGCAGAGCACTGAGCTTTACACCACGCGAAAATAATTAATTCCTAAGTTTCTTTTCCGAAATGATATCCGTTAATGATGGTAAAGAGAAATGAAGACGAATCGATATAATTAAAAAATTTGGCCTTTATCTATTAAGTTAATAAATTTGTTGGAACTAATAACAAAATGATATTGATACTCTGTTCATTTTAGAAATAAATAAGTAAAAGAAATTAGATGCAATTAGAAAATACTAATATACTGCAGGAACAATTTGATAACTATGTTGACGAAGAGTTACGATACGAAAATATGGTTTATGATATATTCAAGGATAAAGTTAACAGTACATGTGGAAGTGAAAAAATTAAGAGAACTCTTTTCGAAATAACAGATTTGCTAACAGACAGAGATATTGCACAACAAACGATTCAGACTAAAATTGATGAAATCATAAATAATTTAAACGAGAGAGAACGAATGGAACTAACTCAATTATGGGCGATACTAGGTGAAGAAGCGATCATCGAAGCGCAGGACAAAATGGAAAATGGAAATAGTACAAGGGAAGCAGTTGAAAATACCACTCAAACTGATAATTTTAAAAGTCAATTACTATTACTGAAATAGTAAAAGACAACGATAAAATGCTAATCAGTAATTAAATATTTTATGGGTAGAAGAGATACTTTTTACAATCTATAAGAGTAAGTAAACGAATTTGCTTTTTCAATTGTATATTTTAAAACTAAGCTATGACCTTTGCACTTATCCTATCAATTTCTATTGGTTATATATATGCTTGAAAGTTAGATCAGTTATGCATTAATGCTTGAAATGAAGTAAAACGTAATGAAGTTACATAATTAAAGCGTACGTAATAATACGCACTTCTGTGCTTGCATCTGTCTTTTTGTATAAATAAAATTTCTAATGCAAAAATTTGGGCGTTATGCATGCTTATACATCACACAATGGTATTTTTCGAATATTTCCGTTAAAGATATTTCCCGGAAAAAACATTTCCGATATCAGTCATTAAGCCATCTTATTTGATTTAACCTTTAAATGATGCGATATTCATTCAAATTTTCAGTATTTGCAACAAATTTTATTGATTAATTCGTCGGATATATTGGATATAAAGATAGCATTTTGTTTACTATCCGTTACTCTAATATTTTCCATTCGTTTGCTTTAAATTTTTGCTTTCTCAAAAACAAATTTGATAGTATCTATTTACTATTGTATGATAATAAAAAGGTGATAAAACATGTGACAGAAAAGTTTAGATGAGGTCAACCAGATGAGATGTATGGATTAAGATGGGGAGAAGAAGATTTGGATGATGTCAACTTGATGAGACACATGAACTGAAACATGAGAGAGAAATTTGTCAGAATGTTTTTTTTTGTGAAGTTTGAACTTATGTTTACTCAGAATTTATAGAGGTTAAAATCCTTAATATGAAGTGAAATGTGATTATCAGAAATAATAAATTATAAAAATAAAACTTTTGTGGGCTGCAAGAAAGAGTGAAAAGAAAGAAGAAGAATCGTTGTTTTCTGAGATAAGTAATGATTGAGGAAGATAAGATAAAAGAGTTAGCTTAAGTTAGAAGGGAGAGTTGAAAGGTAAAACAGGAGACATCGATACTCTCTGAGGGAAATTAGAGAGAGAGAAAGCAGATGTGGTCAAGAGGATGAACATAAGTTGTCGGTAAACAGAACCGAGCAATCATCACTTGCATTTCATTTCGGTTCACGACGAGTTTAGTTTGGATCGTACAAACAAGTTTCTCAGCTGGTCATTGAGACGAGGCGATCGGTCACTGCTGCAAGCGCTTTTGGACGGAACGGTTGTACTGCGCTAATTGAAAGTTGGTTAGCTACTGCCGTGCAAATTTTAAACGATTATCGATGCGATACAGCTCAATCTATTTTAACTTTCTAACTCTTACAATTAGCAATTTATTTCACGTAATTTACACGCAGCAGCTAACCCCAATTATCGGTGGTAAATGTGATACTAACAGTTCAGATGTACCTATTGGTGGGAAAGGAACACAGTTCTTCCTCAGATGTGAACAAAGCTTACAGTAAGTAATTTTATCACTGATAATAAAATGAATCCATCAATCAGTTTGATGATAATTACCAATGAGGTTTGAATAAATCATACCTTCAAGACTAACACTGAGTTAATCGAAGAATTAAATTTCATCATATTGATGGTGTAATTGGATAAAATATATGTTTTTTAAACCTTTAATGTCATTAAATAATTTATTCCAGGAGAGATATGTAATCAAATTATAGTGAAATTTATTAAATATTGTAATAAATTCATTCAGCATAATGAAATCATATATATTGTTAGTTTTTTTCTTAATTAAACAATATAATTAAAGAAAAAAAAAAAAAAAAAAAAAAATATGCAAAATTAATTTAGGTCAGAAAACGGTAAAGGAGTTTGGGTAGTGAAAAGTCGTACTTTATCAACTACAACATCTCAAACAACTCCAACAATACCTGTAATTACCATACTACCACTCGAGAACAAGCAACAATCGTATCAGACTCTTAAATCAAACAATGATATCATTTGTGGTAGAATAAATTTGCAATTTTTTTTTTAAAACTTTCTACAATTTCTGACATTATTTTTATTCGTATAATTAAATAGATTATTGCATGTGATTATTTGAACTACAATTATGAAAGCAAATGCTAAATATAATATATAAACTAATGGCTTTTAATTTGTTTGAAATTTTAGCAGCGACCATTTTGTGAATAATTTCATTTTGCAGTAGAAGATAAAAGTGCGCAAAGTGGCGATCCGTGTTCCGTGTCATCCGTATGCCTACAACAAGAGCAGGGACAGTTGTCATCAAATTATTTGCAGTGTGATCAAAGGTGAATCGTTTAGTTTTTCTTGAAATTAATTAAACGAAAAAAAAAATCATTGTTTCCAACAATTCATCATTTTGCTACCATCTATCATTTTATTAATCCATCTTATTATTGTCACTTAGGGCAAAAACATAAGTATTAAATAATAGGTATAAATAGTTACCTGATCAGTTGAAAAGTATAAATAGTTACCTGATCAGTTGAAAAGTATAAATAGTTATCTGATCAGTTGAAAAGTATGAATAGTTAGTTATCTGATCAGTTGGAAAGTATAAGCACTTACCTAGAAAAAATCAATGAAATGTTTGGTGGAAGAATTTTTATATTTTTATCAAAAAAGTAAACGAATAAAGGTAAATTTCAAAATTTAAGGCAAATTTTTTTTGCAAGCAATAAATCGTAGCAATAATGAGAATTTAGTACCAATCAATGGATGAGAAAATCCTGTTTGGATGGACGAATATTCAGTTTTGAGCACCAAACTTGCATCACATCGGACATAAGCGCACTCAAGCAAAGTCGCCTTGGAACACGTAAGTTTGCTCTGAAGTTAGCGATTTTTTGTTGTGCAGTTTTATTGCGCATTTACTAATTAACTATTATCATCATTTCATTTAATTATCACAAATAACATCGATTTTCGATTTTCAGATCAAAGCTCTAAAATTATCAAAAATTTTGTGGTACTCTCGAAGGAATCTTTCCTCTTTTTGTTTCTCTCATTGAGTATTTTAAATAAAATACCACTTTTTTTTTGAAAAACTAATAAATATATTATGAGAACTATGATCAAATAGATAATAATAATAGAAATAATAACTGAATTATTCACTACTTCATAAAGCGTATGTTCTCGTAATTGCACGTCACTTACGAGAAAGAAGGACGAAGTTATATGTTTAAATTTCTTCGCTAGTTAAATCATTAGTCTAAATATGTACTAACATAATTAAGAAAAGATATCGTTATAGGAATTAAAATTAATATCTGATTTAATATCAATGAATATTTATCTGATCAAAATTGCATTTATTGTACTTTTACTTAAATTCTGAAAGCATTTAAATTGAGAAAGAAAATTAAATATTTGAAAGTTGTTAGATGATAATTATCAGTCATCCCTGATATTCAGTTGTTAGAATGAAAACGAATAATCACATTTCCTCTTTATCTTGCATTTATCATTTCCTTATCACAGTAATCGTTCACTCTTCAAAAACGCTAGCAATGATGAAGCATTCGGCTAAAAGAAGCTTACAATCTCGGAAATTTCAAGACGACATTTAATGTAATGCATTGGATAACAATTACTTCACATTCTCGAAATTACTGTTTAAACAGTTTGGTCAGAATTGAAAAACTAACTGGTTTTGCTGAGTTTTTTTTTGTTAATTCAAATGAAAAGAGCAAGCGTAAATATAACAAATCCGTTCATCACGACAGGATTGCGGTATTGGAGTAGCAAACGGAAATCTTTTCGAAGCACAAATAAAGCAGAGCAAATGGCTGAAGTACCTTTTGCAAGGAGTGGACACTAAGCTTATAAGCACACAATACTGACCACTCATTGCTAGCACGACCGGTTGTTTCGGTCAATTGCTATTTATTTTGAAGTACAACTGAAGTTAGTACTGAACAGGAAGACAGAACATTTAATTTTGAAGAAACTTCACTGAGAAGGAAGAAAATGATAAATCAGTGGAAAAAATCAAACAAAATTTACCGGAACAAGAGAACTGCTGTTTCCAAAAAAGGATCTGGCTTACCTAATCCGGTTGACAATTCGAATCAAACTATAATCAATTTAATGATAACTCAGTGTTTCCTGTCGATGATTGCAAATATCGATTCTATTTTAACATTGATTCCAGCAGATGGATAAAGCAACTTAATCGATTAGTGGAAATCTGGAAATCTAACAATAGTCTATTCGAACTGCATCGATAAAAATGCAAATCTAATGAATGTTTGCTAATAAACGGCCAAGATGGATCAAAAAATGCGAATTTTCCGGAAAAATATGTTTGCAAAAGGATGAATACATACAACGCGCGCTTTTCGGTAATTTAGAGCAGAGAAACGGAAAGGGTTCATGAAATGATAGAATAAATTGAATATTAAGCATACTGATCAGTTGATATGATGGATGAAATGAGGAAAACTTTCATTTATGAATTTTTATAATCTAAAAGAAACACAGTAAAACTTTGCCGGATTAATTAATTTTCTTTAAAATTTCCAACCAAAAATATTTGTTAGACTTCCGAAGAAACTCCGAAGAACCGAAGAAACTATAGCATTTGATAATTGATAAAATTTTATCAATGAATATAATATATTAGTAATTCCTATGTCATATTTTCAGTTTTTTTTTCTTATTGTATTTAATTCTTTAAACAGAAAGAAAAAAACATCCCTTTACATGCACAGTCTTTTACCAAAACATGAAAAGTTGTGTTAATTAAATCACAATAGATGATAGATTATTTTCCGGAAATGGATAGCACATTATCCGGTTTATCAGTCTCTACTTTACTGTCAGCAATAGTTGAAACATTCTAAACGTTTAGTAAATATTTAAACTACTAGTGATATTCTTATCGTATGAACTCATAACAACAAATGATACTAATAGGCAAATTCAGGGTATTACGGACAATCAGCGCCAAATCCGTTTGGTGGAATTGCGTGTTCGTTCACGCAATGCTCTCAGAATAACCCGTGCCATCGCGGTACATGCAATAACGGTTATTGTTGTACTTCCTCCAATGGTAAATTGAATATTTCTTTTTGCAGCTGTTTCAATAACTCTATTTTTAATTTCAAATACTAATCAAATCAATTAATTTCAAAGATGGAAATTGCTAGTCTTTGGCGCTGGTTTGATCATTTTCTAGAATTTTCATATGAAATATAAATGAATGAATCATTTAGATCAATCATTTAGATCAAGTATCACAATTTTCTTAACTTTATTCTAACCATAGCTGTATCTTTGAATTAGGCTGAAATGCTTTTTTGAACTTTTGATAATCTATTGAATATATTACTGGAAAATATATTTGATATTTAATTAGAAAAACATCCAAAATTCATCATTTCAATGATGTGATAAATGTTTACTGGATTTATTTAATGTTCTTTACTTATTTACTAGAATTGCTTTACAGGAAATTTTGTAATAGTATGTCATATCAGAAACTTCATAACAAATTCCCTGTCATTGTTTCATTTAATAAATCCGTGAAATTTGGTATTATTAATTATTACAAGTTTTAATTACTATATGCAAATTAAACAATTCAATTAAGGTCCTGCCTACACTACTTTATTACCATATCATCAGCAATCACTTCAAATGAATCAATTTCCATTCTCGATACCTCATCAAATGCAACCAGCACATAATCCTACAGCTTTTAGTAAATTTTTGAAAAATTCATCAAATTAAATTTAGGAATTTAGAAACTTTCATACATTCTATTTTAGTTTTAATACTGAAAAGTTTTAATACTTCGGTTTTAATACCGAAAAAAAAAAAAGAATTGCCTTTGTTGTAGAATTTGTAGCCAAACTGCTCGTTCATCCATTGTTTACATATATTTTGAAATTCCAATTAAATTTATATTTAAATTAAATTTATATTTTTTTAAAATATATTTAAATAAAAGCTATAGTTAAAATTTAATGCGAAATATTACTGCAACAGATGGATGCGCAAATGGCGGATCACCGGTTGGCACTTGCATTAATATGCGTTGCGCACGTGGATATTTCTGCTCGCCGGGTAACATCTGTTGTCCATCAAATGATTTTGGGACAATGATAGGTAGCACTGCTAATCCGATGAAAAATCCATTTCGTATGTTTATTCAATTTTCGTTCCACTATATAAGCGTAAGATGAAAAATGTACGTGGAAAATACACGTAAATAACTTTTAGTCAGTTGATTTCTATAGCGTAAGATGTGTTCATATAGTAGAAAGAAGTTTCAGTAATTAAAAACTAATTGGACAGATACATTTGTAAATTTCCAGCTAAACGTATCTCATTCTACTCTTTTTTGTTTTTGCTTTTACATTTTTCTATCTGTTGACTTAATTTCAGGAATGAATTACTGATTTGCTTAATACAACAATTTTTAATTAACTCTTCAAATGTCTTTCTCGGCTATAGAAAAATAAATATAGAAAACCAACAATCTATTTAATTTTAGTTTCATGATGGATGTGAGCAAGAAAACTTAAATGTAAAATACAATAGAGCAAATTTAGATTTGATAATACTTTGCTATCTTATCCATTCAGAAATTCTGCTCATCGTCAAATGCAATTTAAAGAGAAGATTGATGGATAAAATTTGAAATGCTGAAAAAAGAAATTTCAGTTTGTACTGATGGAACCCAAGCAGCTGGGGCTTGCATTCTTGGCCAGTGTGGCTCATCATTTACATGCATGAACGGTATGGTATCTTCTTTTTATTCTATTATTTGGTTGATGATAAAATAAGCCTTATTGGCTATTGGCTATTGGCTCAATTGAGGACAGATCTAATTACATTATTTTCGTAATCACATCACTTTTCAAATAAAAAAATGAATTGTTGCAAAGCAAAGATGTGATTTAAGTATTACTAAAGGAATTCATTAGACAGTACTATCAACAGTATTTAAGTTCAGTCTCAATGCTGCAATGCAGCATTTTCAAATGTTAATGAAGATAATTTGACAATGCCAACAGCTGTCATTTACCTCTTTGAGTAGAATTAAATGGAAAGTAAATTTAAGCAAAATCAATTAACTGAAAAATTCAAACCTAAATACACTTGGCTGATACTATGAAAAACAAAAACTTTTCTACTAATTGCTAAATGACTGCGATCATTATTAAAAATCTTAAAAGACAGAGAAGAGACGAATGGAAAGTATAAGTTAGGATAGATCAATTAATTATATTCTATTAATTACCTTAACTTTAGGTTTATGCTGCAATGTAACAAATAACACACCTCGTTGCCTTGATGGTTCGCCATCTGTTGGTGCATGCATTTCCGGACACTGTGGTGCAGGTTTCGTGTGCACCACAGGGAATTTATGCTGTTTAACAAATACCATCGCTAATATCATCCCTGGTCATATTAAATTTTAATTTTATATTTCAAAATTGTTTTTTCAAAATCAAATTACATCAAAAATTTTCCGATTTCATTGATTACAATAATAGAAACATCAAGTTTTATTTTGCCTTTTTTCTCAGTTTACTGAAAATGAATAATTTTAGGGACATGTCCAAACAATGCTGCATCGATTGGTACTTGCATTAATGGCCTATGTCCAACTGGTTACACATGTATAAATGGTCAATGTTGTCCACAAACCGACAAAACTTTCCGTTGCTCTAATCTTAATTATGCTCTTGGACCATGCGTTGCTGGCCAATGTCCAGATGGTGGTTTTCAATGCGATATGACAATAAATTCTTGCTGTCCGGTAACGGATCCTGTTGGCCCATGCATTGAGCCAGGTTATTTTAACATCTAATTTAATTTGAAAAAAGTGAGAATTCAATTTGAATAAAGAATTGTTTGGTATTGTTTCTTCTTCTACGATACCATTAAAGTGTCAATTCGAAGACGTCTGTTGCTTTGCTTTCAAAGGGACAGCAGATGACATCTTATAGAAGCTAATCACTCACAGTGATTTACAATATTTATTGGTGTAAATATGTTTATTTAAACTAAATTTAATATTATCACTGCATGAGTTTTGTAACTACTTTCATATTAATTTGCATATTACAGGTGACCAATGTCCAGCAGGTAATAGATGTTTCAAAGAAGGTTCAACTCCGCTGTGCTACAAAGAATGTGATGGTCGTGGGACAGTATTTGGTCCTCCGGTAGACGGAGTATGCCCAACCGGAACTACTTTGATTTTTGGTTCTTGTTGTACCTTAAGAGCGCGATTGCATAATCCAATACAATCATCGTTTTTTTCTGAACGATACTCTGATTTCTATTCATGGCCTACTACTTCCGGTAAAAATTTTTGGTTCGACTTTAAAAATACATCCAATGAATTATTGAAGAATGTGATTTAGTTAAATTTAAGTTAAGAATGAGAATTTACTCAATTTTTTGATCACTTTGCAAAAGATATTTTCAGGAATGAAATTATGTCCGGATAATACCGGACCTATAAGTGCTTGTATAAATGGTCAATGTGGATACGATTATCAATGCTACAACAATGTTTGTTGTCTTCCGCAGCACAACAATGTGATATTTCCACTTTCATTAACAGGTAAAATGTTGACATTTTATTTTTTTATATTTTTAGAATATCGGAAGAAAAAAAATTGATTTTTAATTGATTCCTGCTCAATAGCTGTAATTTGAAAGATATGAATTAAAGAAGGAAAGATAATAATATAATATCCTAAACGATCATTCCAGTAAATGTTTTCAATTTCAAATAATTTAAGCTTTTACTCATCTCATCTCCAAACAATAGCAATAATCTTCTATTAAAAATTTTAAATTAGAATTATTGACATATCTTTAAAAAAAAATTTTTTTTCTTTTACTTCAAAATTAAGTTTGCTAAGCTAATACATTTATTTTTAATATATTAGCTTCACCTGCCTATATATTCTTTCAATTTAAAACTAATCATACAACAATAACAATCATTTTTCCTGCAAATAAATAATCAAAGGATTAATTCATTTTTCAAACTTTTATTTTATTTTATTTTTTTCTTCTGACTTTTATTTCAAACTGAGATTTAATCAGAAAAAAAAAAGCAAATTCAAAAGTGAAAAAAATTTATTGTAGCATTGAGGCCAATAGGTGCTTCATGTGAATTTACGCAGCAATGTGTTAATTCTATGGAAGGTTTATCAATTTGTGAATTAGGTATATGCAGGTGTTTACCAGGTGCTCAAGTGAATGGATTTTATTGTGTTAAACGTTTCAGTTAGTTCTCTTCTTTTTTCTTTTTTTTTTTTTCCCAATTTCTTTTTGAAATATATCCTCGAAAAAAGAATTGTAAATTAGAGAAAAATTTTTTTTATAATTTTTTATGATTTAATGCTATTATATTACGGATAGTTCAGATGAGAGATTCCTTTAAAATACAAAAATTTCTGTTGCAATTTCAACAAATGAATCATTAAGAAATTAACTGAATGATAAAGTATGATAAAATGATGTCAACTTTAAATATATTAAATTAGCTATATGCAGGATCAGCTATATCAGATTGATTTATTAGCAGCATTGATGTTAATATGTCTAATTAGTGATTTGATTAGATTTAAAAATTAAATTTTATTTTTCATATGAAATGCTTCGATGATTTTGATTAGCTTTTTTATTTTATGTCATTCAGTGTATTAACTCAAAAAGGCGATATTATTGTTTTTGTCTGTGAATTTATTAAATTCTTAATCCGAATTGTCACTTATTTATAATACTGTTAGACTGTTTATTTACAATGTAAATGATTTGACAGACTTTGGTTACTTTCAGGGAACTTTCAGGTATATTACTTTCAGGTATACCACTAAACGATGCAGGGCAATCGTCTAAGAATGGTACTTCAGTAGATGAATCTGATGCAGTAGGGACTGGGAGTTAACGAATAAAGTTTTTTTTTTTTACCAGAGCATTTCCGGTTGTTACCTTCAGGATTCCATCATTTCTAAATCATTTACCGCAATTTCACCCACTTTTTTTTTTCTCAAAAATAAATCTCTGCAAATAAAATGACAAACTTATAGATATGATATGATATCTTATTAAGTATAAGCTAAATTGTCATTAACTTGATGAAATTCATTTCGTTAAGCAGAAATATGCTAATAACTTTACAACTTACTCCAATTTACACTAATAAGTTTTTTTTTTTTTTTTTAATTTATTGTTTTGCATATATTTCTGATCTAAATATGTTTTTCAACAAAGTATTCATTTTCATTTTTTGCACCTGTAAAAATATATGCAATACTAAATGTGACAAATTTTATTTGAAATAAATAAAATTTTATTGCTATATCGTTTTTATCTCTTTCTCTCTCTAAAAAAAAAATAAAACTTTTAAATTTGATTATTCATCTGTTTCTATTATAATTTTAAAAAGCAAAAATAAATGAATAAATTGAAATCGTTTGAACATAAATAATGCTAATTATTAATTGAAAATTTTCTGGACTATATGAAATGCAAGAAAATTTTTTGTGTCACATTATTATGTCATGTCATATTTGCATCACATTGCTGTCACATCTTTGGTATTGTGTTCAGGATGTAATCATTTTTGTTGTTCTATCAATAATTTTCATCTTGATCTAAGAATAAAATTTGTAAATTTAAAACTTTCTAAAATGTCTTACAGTATGACTATATCCTCTAAGTAATTTACTCTGCTAATAACAAGGTATATAAGTAATTTACTCTGCTAATAACAAGGTATATAAGTAATTTACTCTGCTAATAACAAGGTATACAAGTGTTTCCCTAATGCAGTAGTATTTAAAATTATTCAAAGATGTTAAATTTCAATAAGATGGAAAGAATTATTCTTTAATTTTTTCTATATAACTAATAATAAACTAAATTTCAGGTTTGGTACGATAAATCTTATTTATTAGTTTCTTCAAAAAAAAGAAAAAACAAGCATTAAATGCTTGTTTTCTTTTAGTATTGAAATTTCAAATTTAATAGAAAACTAAGGAAGCAAAAATGATATATTTATTCTATATAATAGTTAAAGAGTTAATTAACATAATTGTAATTTATAAATGCTTGCTTATTACAGTATTTAGATTATCTCATATCAAATTAATATTCCGATTAAGCTAAAATTAATTATTAATTACTTTTTAAAATATAATCTATCTTGTCTATTAAAGTATTATTGATTTTAAAAAAAATTTTTTTTTTCTTCTTTTGCATAATGAAATAAAATTAATTGCTTCCTGATATTATTATATGAAATATTATTTTGTACAGATGAATAACTCTCATCGCATTTGAATATTTATTTGCAATGAAAACTTATAACTAAACTTATGCTATTGCTCTGATCACAAACTATAAACTACGTTTCTTTTTACTTCAAATCAACCGTAATAACTTTTTATTTCAAATTTAATGACTAATGATAATTAGGAAGAGAAGAAGAGAGAGAGAGAGAGCGGTGAGAATAGAGAATGAAAGAAAAGAGAAATGAAATGTGAAATAGATGTAAAATATATTTCTACCTGTGCAGGTAAAAAGAGAAAGAAGTAAAAATCAAAAATAAAGCAAATATAATCGCAACACTAACAGATAACAACACAAAATATGTAAGACGAATTTTTTTTTCTCGAAAAAAAAAAAAAGAAATAATGTAAATTAATGAGTATAATATGATGAAAAGAAAAAGAAAAGAGGGAAAAAAAAAAGATGGAAGCAGGTGGTAAGTAATAAATAAAATGTCCCACTTTACTTTAGTTGGACAAACTTTCATTTCAAATTTCTTTCATATTTTACTTTTCAATAAGCTTTGACTTATTTAAAATATTCTCATAATATTTTCATCATTTTTTTCTATTTTTTTCCCAAATCTTTTTTTTTTTCACTCTTTTTTTTTTCATTTCACGCATATTTTATTTTCTTAAATTTATTCATAAACTTGACATTTTGTAGTAGAATGAAAAAAGAAGTATGAAATGAGAAAGAAATCAAATACTGTTTTTTTTTGCTTGAAAAAAAAAAGGTAATGAGAAAATTTGCAAGGAAATATTAAAAGGAATGTTTTAAGCTATTAACAATTACTAAGCTTAACTTTTTTCCCATGTTTAATTATAGGTGTGCTAGGCTTTGAGTTATATTAAAAATTCGTCATCTGTCACAAAGTTTGGTTGCTTGAAAGTAGTAATAATAATAATAGCAAAACTGTCAACCGTTGACCACTGCGACAATCTTTTCGTTATGTTTTATTATAATTCTTACCATTGAAATATATGTTATTTTAATAATTTGCACAGTGAATAATTTTGAAATAATATTTGTAAAAAAAAAAAAAAAAAATTAAATTTTTCATTTTTAGATTAAAATCTGTCCAATGAATGATCATCGAGAAAGTATGCTAACAGTGATATTTGCAATTTTAATTTGTGTCATTTCTCAATGTTCGATCACTAATGCAGTTACCTATGATCGATTTTGTCAACACTATCCTCCACTTTCACAATATCATTCTGAGCCACATTCTGGTTCATTTTCATTTTTCGTCTTAAAAAATTCCTTCCTGTTAAACGGAACATTCATTTTTTTAGCATTAAAAAATTTTTAATTTTCAAATTAAAAATAAAAATAGAATTGGGATTTTTTTTATTAATGATAATCGAAAAGAAAAGAACATATTTTTTAAAAATTTTCCAATTTTAAAATAATTTTTCTTTTTTCTTATTGATAAAAGATTTTAATGAGAATTTGAAGTAAAATTATTACCTATTAATTTAATGTTTTATTATGCATTGCAAAATAATTGGAAAGTTAGATCATCAAAATTAGTTAACACTGATGACATTTCGTTAGTAAACTAAAATTTTAGACAGTTAAGATGACCAATTTAGGAAAGTAATTAATCTCGAAAATTTAAATTTTGAAAAACAATCAATTCGTATGAAATATCAATGTACAATATTTTAATCTTAAATTTCCTTATACTAATCTGAAAATATATTACTAACCGTCAAAAATTTCAAGAAAGCTTTTATACATTCCAAAATTAAAGAAATTAAAATAATACTTCAATATCGCATTAAACATTCTTTGTATAAACATAATAAACCAATCGATCTAATCAAATTTAATTATATTCAAATTTAATCTCATAGTTATATAAATTTCAATGCAAACGAGATTTTTTTGTTTTTTTTTTTTCCCAAAATGCCATCAAAATATTAAATTGTAGTAATAGACGGTGAAAATTTTTAGTATTTGATACTTTCCAAAAAAAATTTGATAACCAATTTTTCAAATTGGTATTATAATAATTAAAAAATGAATTTTATTAATTCAACTTATAGTATCATTAAACTTTTTTTCTTTTTCTTTTTTTACAGCCAAACGAACGAATTACGATTTTATTCGATTTGGTCGTGGCAGAAGAGATGGACCAGGAACATATGATTACATACGTTTTGGAAAAAGATTATCAGGATTGCTGGCTAATCAAAATTCTGAACAAACGAATTTAGCAAAATAAATGCTAATAGTTTATTCAAATATCAGCAAATATTGGAAATAACTTTATACATGATTCTTTTTTTTTTTTTTTTTTAACTTTTGTCACCAATAAATGGTAATTAATGTTGAATAAAGTGGACAGATTAGATTCATTGGAATTCATTTCGTTTTTACACATAAACAAAAAAAAAAAATTTGAAAAATATTCCACTTAAAAATTTACACAATAAATTTAACACTTCTGAACTTCATCCAAATTTTAATTGAATGTATGTATTAGCAATGTAAGTTGAATTAATTATGAATTAAAATGAGCAATTATTCAGATAAAATGAAATAAATTGGTGTAAAATTAGTTATTAGCTATTTTGTACATTTCAATGCTATTTAATTAACCTTTTATTATAAAAAGCTTTAATTAACCTTTTATTACAAAAAAGCTTTAATTAACCTTTTATTATAAAAAGCTTTAATTAACCTTTTATTATAAAAAACTTTAATTAAGCCCTTTTATTACAAAAAACTTTAATTAAGCTTATATTGCAAAAAACTTTAATTAACCTTTTATTATAAAAAAATTTAATTAACCTTTTATTATAAAAAACTTTAATTAACCTTTTATTATAAAAAGCTTTAATTAACCTTTTATTACTAAAAGCCTTCATTCCAATAAAACAGAAAGAAAAAAAAATGGTAAATAATGAAACATTCTTTTTTTCTACTAATTATTGTTTCTGTTAATTAATTTAAATAGAAATGAATCAAAGGAACTTTTCATAGTATCATAGAATCATTTCCACTAATATAATCATTTCATAAATAAATGAAATTTACATTCATTTTTGATTTTGTTTTCATCATTTTGTCCAAATTTATGCGATAATTTGTGTAGGATTAAAATTTCACTAATTTCATTTCGTTAAAAGTTAAATTTATCTTACTCAAATTTTATAAATAATTTAATAATAAATGAGCAAATATGATAGTAATGGATAATTTTTGAAAAATTAAAATTTAATGAAATAACCTGGTGGATGTGAAATTAGCAAATAAAAGGAATGACGACTGCAATGACGTAAGTGTTATGCGTGATATGCTACGTAAATGCATTTAACAAGTTTTGATTAAGTCATGAAAAAATGATCATTGTATTTTGGTAGAGAAGAAATTTGGTAATGTATAAAATATTCATTAATGAATTTTGGATGTATTATGGTAGTTCATTTAAAAACAAAACGATAATAGTGATTTTCTTGGAAAATATGATAAACGATCTATAAGATGGATTGTTTAAATGAAATTTGAAAATTTTAAAAGTTGAAACCACCTGTTCAAAATTTAAAATTTTTTAAAATAAATACTTGTAGAAAAAACAAAAAACTGCAACAGTATTATAATAAAGCCTGAAAGTTGAAGCACTCCAGTTCTATCATTTTCTTTTTTTTTTCGTTTCTAATTTAGTTCGAATTTAAAAAATGAAGATGAAATACCAGAAATGAAGTATTTTTGAATTTAATTATCTATTTTGAATTATACAGCAGTGATATTATATATATATATAATAAAGTATTATATAGTAGTCATATTAAAATGAATCTATTAAATTCACTATTTAGAGATTCCAAAACAACTTTTTTTAAAAAAAGAAAACAAAGAATTTGAAGATAATTGAGAGATTAAAAATTAGCTGCTAAGTTATAATAATTTCAAGTTTTTAAACACAAATGTTTAATTATTTTCGACTAAATGATTCTTATTCAAATTTTACAGAACAAATTTGTCCAAATTTTAATTTTCAAAAGTGCAATTATAAATTAATTTAATCGTTTCCGTGACGTAAAGAATGAAGGAAAGATGGAAAGATTTTTCTTTTTTTTTTTTAGCAAAATAAATATTCGCCTGCTTTTTTCTTTTTTTTTTTTGAAGTCATTTATAGAAAGTTTAGCTTATTTAAAAGTTGAAAAAGCATTTCTTTAATTAATTTTGAAAATTTAAAATAAAAAAATTTTTTTCAAGCTATTTTGCATTTTACAAATTTCTGCAAGAAATTCCAAATGTAAAATGAAAGTTTTGATTTTGCTAGAACTAACTGATTATTTTACAGCAATTCATTTTATTGAAATGACAAAAAATATGTGTTGAATTGAAATATCACCTGATATCACCTGCGTAGAGAAAATAAATCTTTTAAATTTTTCATTTTTAAGCAATTATCGGTTATATGAATTATTTTTTGTGTCGTTTTTCATTTTTTTTTTTTTATTTCAAAAACAGAAAAAAAAAAACAATTTTTGTGAAATAATTAAAATTCGGCTGATTAGAAAAAAAAAAGTAAATACAAAGTTGATTTTTTTTTTCTCATATTTTAACATTCTTTTTAACAGCCAATTTCATCTTCTCGGGATCCACATAATAAAATACTAAATTATAGTGTAAAATTATATTTCCTTTAATTAAATATTTTTTTTTGATTTCAAATGCTACTATTTTGCAAAATTTTTATAAAAGGACATTGAAGTGTGAGACAAAATTATATTTGTGACAGTTAAATACTTTCTTAATTGCAAGTTCGATTGTGGAATCAATACAAAAGATATTGAAATGTGAAATGAAATTTAAATTCTAAAAAAAGTATATATGCTAAGTATAAATTCATAAAAGGTATCAATATCCAAATATAAAAGAGAAGTAAATTAGATCTCTCAGCTTCTTGAATTTGAATAATTTTTCAAGTAAACAGCTTAGAATAATAGATAAACCAGTGAGTGATTAGAAGATGAATGAATGATAAAGTTATATCAGTTAAATATGAATAGATGGGGCGTCACCAACAATTTCAATTTTCAATTCAACTTTTAAAGAGACGAGCATTTGAATTTCTTTTCATATTCTACCATTACTCTTTCAACCACGTTTTTACTCTTACTTTTCGTTCTTCTTCCTCAAACTAATATTGCCAGTAAGTTATTTGAATTATAAACAAAACTGATAAATAGAGTAAATATAATAAAGCTAATTTACTGGTAAAACTAGTACAAAATTAGACTTATGAGTACTACCTGGCAATTCTAAATCCTTATCATCAGGTGTATTCATTGGAAATAAAGTTGAAAATGATTAGAAATGATATGTACTTCTGTTGATAGTAATCAGTGATATTATTCTTACTGATACTCTTTCCCAGTTTAATAAATCATTTAAGACATATTATATTAGTGAAATAATTCAAAGTATTAGTAGAAAGTATTGATGTTATTTTCAACTAAAATAATAATTTAGGTAAATCAAATAATATATATTATTTGATTTTTTGCTTCAGAAAGTACGAATGCTTAATTCGTTTTGAATACAATTTCAGTAGAACTACCAAATATTCCGGATCGTGAGGAAATCTCAGATGCTGAATTAAAATACCATGGGATGAATGATGAGCAACGCTTATTTAAATATATTATCAGGAATTTTGACATTTCCATACGACCGGTTTGGAATGCAAGCAGTGTTGTAAATGTTTACATGGGTCTTACACTCACCCATATTTTCAATATTGTAATACTTTCTAAAATTTCTTAACTTCTACTTAAATCATAATTTGAGTAAATTTTACTTAAATCTAAATTTTTCTAAATTTTACTTAAACCATAACTTGAGTAATAATAAGATTTTTTTTTTTTGGAATAAATTAAGTGAAATTTTGTTTATACCAATAATTATTTCAATAACTTACGAATTATGGGCATATTTTTTTTGGACAAATAAATGGAAACTATATTTGTAAATGCTTTTCTTCAACCATTAACTTCTTTTTTAAAAATTTTACAATTAAAATTTTAAAAATTTAAGCCTAATTCCTTGCTCAAAATTTGAACTCATAATTAAATTTAGCATTTTTTCAGATTACTTTTTTGTTTAGTTCTATCAAATCTGAATATTTGCAGCGATTTAATTTTTTCATTTCTTATATATGTTGCATTTTTCTTCATATTTCTTCAAAAAATTTCAGTCTAAAGTTATACTACAAACAAACAGAAAAGAACTGCAAGAAATGAATGCATTGTTTTTAAAAAAAATATATATGTATTTGAGAAGAAAAATGAAATAAAACTTGGCCATTGGTTGTTTAGGCCTAAGTTAATGCAAAGGCTAACATTGTCAATTTATCACTTTGTTTCATTCGAACAGAAAAAAAGAAAAATTCAATTTGTTTTGAAGCAAAACTAAAAAAAAACATGTTCCATTCATGGTTACACTTATTGTATAATTTTTCCTCTTCAAAAATCATTTCACTTCTTCCTTCTTTGATTTAATTATCTTGGGATTCGTCTAACAATCCATGCTTTCATTTTTTTTTTTAACACAAAAAGAATTTTTTAAATTGTTTTGCATAAAATGAAGAAAAGAAAATTGGAGCAATTGCAATGTAAACTAATATGCAAAGGATAAATAATTTACGAATTTTAATTTAGTTTTTTTTTTTTTTTGAATTTCAAACATAAATTTCATTGTTATAAAGGATGAGAGGAATCAAGTGTTGACACTAAACGTTTGGGTAGAACAAAATTGGCACGACGAAAGGATTCGTTGGAATCCAATTGAATTTGGCAATATTAGTAAATTAACAGTGGGCAAGAAATATTTGTGGACACCAGATATCGTCCTCTACAATAAGTTATCATTTTTGCCATCAAAATTTCAATTATTTAATTTAAATTTTATTTAAATCTTATCAAAATAGTGCTTTGAATTCTTATTTCTTCCACAATAAAATCCAGCTATTTATGGAAATTTGAAAATTGCAAAATAAAACTAAAAAATTTTGCCGAAATAATATGCTAAAAGTAAACAATTGGAATCTCCGTTTCAATCTAAAATCAAATCCGGATCATTTTCAAGAAATGCTTAATTATACCATATGCTAAACTTACAGAAACTTAATTTCTTAACTATTTCATACTTGAAAATTTGAGTATTCATTTTTTTTCAAGCTATTTTATGAAAATTTCAGCAACAGTTTACTTTTTTCTAGTGCGGGAGATTTTTCACGTGGTTTTGTCGACACCAATCTTCATATTTTAAGCAATGGTGATAGTAAGTTTATACGATTAAATAAATAAACAACAGTTTGTTGAAATTATAATGTGCAAAATTAACATTTTCTTTGAAATTTAAATTTTCAAACTTATGGAATAATTTGATCGTCGACGTGTAAGTGATATTACTTACTTACGTGATTGTTAGCATTTCCAGAAAATATGGCGGAAGTACGCTTAGTAAATGACAGAATTTGCAATGATACATTTCTCTTTTTTTTTTTTATTTTTATTATAGTTAATTAAATAAAAAAAGTGATGGTTCATTTGAAATGAATTTTGAAGCGCAATGGGCACCGCCAGCAAAAGTTTCTTCGATATGTAAATTGGATGTTAGATACTTTCCATTCGACGATCAATTCTGCTTGCTTGAATTTGGCTCATGTAAATCTTCTTCTATTAATGCTCAAATTAATATTGATTAATTTAAAAATTTCAAATTATTATGCTGTTTAAAATCAAAGATAACAAATGAGGAATGTTTAGATAAGTATAGAATAACAAATGATTTTAGATGCAACTAAACAATTGAATTAAATATTATCAAAAGCATTAAATTCACTGATTCAGCTTAAGTAGCTCAATAAATGAATTTGTAATTACTACATCGACAAAGACAAGATTTAATTACAGTATTCTGTTAAAAGTACTCTCTGCTAAATATTTGCAAATCACAACTGCTACAGTACACAACTGCTTGTCTCGCAATATGTTTTCAACTAATCAATATGCAAAAAAAAAAAAATACAAAAATACGAAACAGAATGTAAAAATAAACACTTTAAGCTAACTTTACGTAGCTTCAAACTACAGTAACTAAAAATTATAGTATATGCTTTTCTCTACTAATTACTGTAAATTAGGGATATACGATCAATCACAATTGGATGTACAAATTATGGAACGATACGATGGTAAGAATCCGTTCACACGCGATTCGTTCATTGAAAATGGAGAATGGGAAATTGTTGCAAATCGTACACGTAAGGTATTAATTCTATACCATTTATTATGAATGATGACAAACGTAAATAACACGTAAGTCAAAATATCATTATCAGATGCTAATACTGAACATTAACAAGATGAGGTTTAGTTAGCAATGAGAATAAACTAGCTAGCTTAGATTAATATACCTATAAATACTTTGAAGAGTAAAAGTTTTCTAAGGTACTTCGTGGTCGGCAGACAACCTTTTCAACAATTGTGTTTGAATTGCATTTACGACGACGAGTACTGTACTTCATTTATAATATTATTGCACCGTGTTTCATGCTTTCTGTAAGTTTTATGGTAAAATAAATTCCAAATATACTGTAATCAATTTTTTATTACGATAGTACATTTTGTATGAGCATACATGAAGAGTTATACTGTACTTCGAATTATTATATCACTGTTATTTCATTCATTTCTGAGCAAAAAAAAAAAGTTTGAAATGAAAAATTTCTATTCGTTCCTACAATAAGTCAACCATTATTTATGTGATTAGGTTAAGTAAAGTAATTTACGATTAAAAAATTCATTTCAGATATTAACAATGATGCAATTTCTATTACCGTGTGAAAGCGGTGAAAAAATAACACTTGGCTTAACAGTATTACTGGCTTATTCCGTTTTTAGCTTTAATATTGCTGAAAATATGCCGGAAACATCAGAAGTTATCCCTCTTATTGGTAAATAATAAATCGTTAAAACTTATGAGTGCATCTCTAATAACAATCATTATTTCTAAATAATACCACAAAATTTATTTGATTAGTATAACACGAATCAAATAGAAGGGTATTGGAAATCATAATTAACTTATATTTGTATTGGAAATCATAATTTGCATTCGTATTTGTTATATAAAATAACTTTCAAGAAGAGATAATTATTAAAAATTTCAAACAACTATATCAAGTGATTAAATAAATGAAAAAAATTATTTGATCAACATTTAAATTATTGATTGAAGCGTAAACAAAATTTTAGAGAATATCCGTCCATTCAATACATTCGAAGATATATTTAACATTTATGCTCGAAATAATAATAATAATATCTCACTAATTAATATCTTTCTTAAATGGCATTCAATTAAAAGTTTTTTAACGAATGCTTTTTTAAGCTCTTATTGTAAATTCAAACTAATAAGTTTGAATAATAGTAGTAAATATATTATCCATCAATAACATAATAATATTTACTGGTTGATAAATAAATGATCATTTTGGCAAATATTTTAATTTTAGCGATATATTTGATGGGAATAATGGCAATTTCGGGTCTTAGTGTTTGTTTATCAGTTATCGTTCTCAATATGAGGCATAGCGCTGAACGAAATTGCAGGTTTTTAAATCAATTTTAATCATTTTTCATCATAAAATTTTAACTCCAAATAAAATTCCATAAAATTTACTTGATTGAAGCAAAACTTATACTCGAAATTTTCATAAATCTTTTGAATATATTACATTTGAATATTTTAAAACTTGAATATTACATTTAGACCTCCACATTGGTTAAATTTTATTGCATACCGAATTCTCGGACGTTTATTTGGTATAGCGACACAAAAAAAGCACAGAAAACTGGAATATGCAAAAGATACAAAAGATGTGATGAGCGAAATTATAGTAATATAATTCTTAAATTGCTTCTCATTTCATTCAGATTTATAATTAGAAATTTTAAAATTTTATTTAGAAGCTAGTTAGTTCCTTAATAATAGCAATTAACAATCCAAACAATGAATTCTTTTTGGAATCTAAAATATTGTTCAGCAACTAGAAATTTGCTCACAACTATAAATTGAACTAATAAAAATAGTCGTTGTCCAAAATTTTCTCATTTAACAATATTTCATTGTTATGAATTGACATAATTTTGATAGCAAACAAAAAAAAAAATCTTTACAATATTTTTAATACTAAAATCAATTTCTTTGTTTTTTTTTTTTTTAGATAGAACGAATTCAAAATGAGAACGATCACGACGAATTGGTTGAGGAATGGAATCATATTTCGATTATCTTTGATCGATTTTTCTTTTGTTGCATTTTTTTCCTTACCGGTGTTGCTACCTTTTTTTTGTTAATAGCTCCTCGTTTCAGTCATCGACATTTTGATATGAATTCTTGAACTTTCTAGTAGTATGAGTTAAATTGTAGCTTATGACTTTAATTGGATAAAAAGTTATATTGATTAAACACACAAGAAAGTATTGTCATCCAAATGTTTCGGATAAAAATCTGTATTAAAATAGAAAATAAAATAATATTTGCGTATTCAATACTTCCTTTCCTCCTTTTAAATTTATGCTTTTAAATCTACTTTTAAACTTTTAAATCTACATTTCTGCATCAGTTTATGAATGTCATAGACAAAATAATTGTGAACCTTTGATTTTATGAAAAAGTTTTAACTTTATAAAAGAATGTCACAATTGAGACTGAATTTCGGTCACCACCACCACCATACTATAATTAAGGGATGTCAAAATTCATTGTGGAATATGACTTGAAAATTGGAAATGAAGTGGGAGGATTAATCAGGCCATATTATCAGTAACTGTACTCTATCAGCCATATTGTTATCAGTGACTTAATAATAATATATAATATCAGTGACTGGTATGCATAGATATTTTAATCTGGAAAGTAGTAAAATCAAAAATGAACACGTTGAAATTGAACCTAATAACGTGAGACGATTTCACGTAAATCATTTTTATCCAAAAATTGACATTAATTAATTTTGGAACAGAATAGTAAAATGGGAAAAAGGACACTGGAAAGAAAGTACCGTAAATTGTACCAAAATTCCTAACGTCTAGTAAAAACGAAAATTATTCTTACTATTAATTACTATACTACATTATTATTATTACTATACTAAATTACTGCTACACCATATTATTGCCCATACTTTACTATTATTATTAGTGTTCATCAGTTGTTCCCTTTATAACGTCAACTTTCAGTTAAACTTTGTAGCCATAGCAATTCCTACTTTTTCTTGATATTTCATTTCAATCCTAACATATTAATTAAATTAACAGACATTTCGCTAACATTTATTGTTTATTAGGGCATAGCACTGACATCGAAATCGTCAACGGTTAATTTACATAAGTACAACTATACGATCAGTGTTGACAGTGAACTGTTTTCATCGATATATGCCATTTGGTGCATAGTTTGTTACAACTACCAATCTTCCGCTTTGTTTACTAATCGATAACAATGCACTACCAATCAAAATTAAAATGTTCTGACGTCTAGAAATTATTGTTCGGAAACTATTTTTTTTTTTTTGGAGATAACTGTTATACCATTACAGTTAATTTTAGAAAGGTTTAAACTGTAGCATTGATTTCGGAATAGGCTCAAACTATTTACAAGGGCAAAGAATATAAACAATAAACAATCGAATGTTTTTGTTAAATTAACAAACAACATTGAAATAAATTGAAGATTATCAATTTAGTGAGTTACTACCTTTCACACTGCTTCATTTAATCATCATAAATATCAGTTCTATTGCTTTTCTTTCTTTTTTTTTTTTTTTAAAGTGATATTCGAGACTATTTTCGAGAACTAATCGAGTGAATAGGTCAGTAAACCTTTCTAAGAGTCAATTCCAGAAAAAAAAAGAATACTTCCATAAATAAAATGAATAGAGAGCATATCTATCAAGTGGTGATGTTTCATATGCTAAGTGTTATGATTACAAATACCGCCACTTTTTCCGCCTGCAATTAACAAGTAAAATGCTTCTAGTCTTCTAACCGTCAATTTGTTTGCTAATTTCTTGATTTTTCTATAGGATGAGACTAGTAGTCATTTGTGCAATTATTTGTTTAAAATTGCCGCAACTTTTTGTTACAACTGTTAAAGCTTGCTTTAAATATTAAATATAAACATGAAAATTTTGAATATATCATCGTTCATTAACCATTTCACATCCATGTTGAGTTTTCTAATGAAATGAGTCAATAATGAATTTCGAGAATTTCTCTTAAAATACCCAACCCAAAATTGGTCATTCAAAAATTACACAGCATCAGCACATAAAAATTCTTTCATTTCTTCTCGTAAACATATATTTGGAATAACTAACCAATTACTTTTTATCATATCTGTAATGAAATTTTGTCACACTTTGAAAGCATTATTTTTACTTTTATTGAATAAAATAATCCAAGTACCATTTCAATTATTAAAAATGATTCAAAAGATTCATAACAATGGGATATCTATTCGTTTCGTTTCCATGAAAAACAATAATTACTCAATTATCACCTGGAAAAGTTCCAATTCTGCTGTAAAAAAATGTATTACTTGAATGATTATTAAAATGATTGATACTCTTAAGCAAAACCTATTCATTCAAAAGTTAGTGTTTACTTTAATAGTTAATTAGAAAATATTACAGCTAACGTTATCTCACACAGTAAATCTGCTCGATGATATCGACAAATGGTGGCGTATGACTCGTACGTAAGTCACTCTACAAAATTAAATTATACTTGTAATGCACAGAAAGTAGTCGTATACGTTAACCATGTCTGTCAAAAGAATAATTACTGCTACACTTAATTAGACAAAGCTAACGTTATCTCACGTAATGTCGTAAATCAGTCATCACTTTATTCAGTTACAACGAACAATAAAACAACAATAACAACAAGCGTAACCTACGTCAATAAATCTCATTCGACAGTGAAAATCGTCCAACCGCGAAACAGCTCAACGTTTGTGGCGTTAGATGCCCTTTGTTATTGTGACGGGTAGACGTTGTACTGGCAGGAATTCACGTCTCAACTAAATACGTAAGTGTACATATTTATGTATGTGACCATGGAAATTTGTTTATGATCAAAGAATTATTTATAAGGAAGTGATTAAATTATATTGTAATTTTACTTTCTGCAGGTAAGAATGAAATTTTCAAGTTGAATAAGATTCTAATTCCACTTATCACATCAATAAATCTTACCTGCACTTGATTTAACCTTTGCTAAGATTCCTAGCAGCTATCAGTATATTCGTGATATTACCACTTTATTTCATCTCTTCTAATTCAATATTAAAATAGTATTTAAGGGGTAACGCATGTGAAACGAGGAGAGTATGGAGGCAAGATCAAACAACCTGAATGAACATTCTTCACATGTTTGCTGTAATGTCACAACAGGTGATTCAAGCAACGAAAGCAAATTGATCACTGCATCAAATACATCTTTACTGATTACAGCTGATGGATCACAGGTTAGTCAGTGTTTGTTTCCTTAAATACTAAATAAAAGTATTGTCATTCATGTCATTTTGCATAAAACCGATAAAACTGATTACTTTCCTGATCATTGTTTTTTCCAACTTCATTTCCCAAACTATATATTTACTGACATTGCAAGTAATTTTAAGTACTGTAATCTTAGCAAGATGAGCGAAGTGACACGTGGGAACAATCGATACTGGAACATACTGAGTATTCTTCGGTGCAGAACAGTCTAAACAGAGAGAATACGAATAATGAATACGAAACAAATGCGGTCCATCCATCGTTGACGGAGTTTTTTCAGAATTCTCGAATTGATGCATTTGGTTTCATACACAGTCTCAACAATATGTACATCTTTTTTAACCGTTTCGTGTTTTATGTTGTTACTGGCGTTTGTCCATTAGTTACATTTTAATGGACAGAATGATTTATCATAGTTTTTGACTGGTTATCGTAGTGAATTTGCAAACTTATAGCTAGTACTAATAGCTCTTCAGAAAAGTGCATATTCTGTATAATAGTAAGAAGTTATGGGTTGCTGAAACAGCGTTTGAAATACATTGCAGATAAGATTAGTTTACTATTTTGCAGTTAAGATCACTGAATTCAAAGTAATAAATTATTACTTTTGAAGTGAAAATGACTGTCGATTTCTGGATCATTTATACGATATCTTATGTAAAGTGACTGAGGAAAAAATGCTTAACAACTTTGGAAAATTTTGAGGGTAAAAATTATAATTCTGCTGTCTTAAAGATTTTATGACTGTTGCAGAAATCGTGAATCTGCAGTAGACTTGGAGACGCTGCGAAAACGTGAAAAAAAATGGTTGCATATGCTTACAAATTGGTCATATTTTATGGATAATAAGTATGAAAAAGTAAGGGAACGTTGCCGCAAAGGTATACCGCCGTCATTGCGTGGTCGAGCTTGGAAACACTTATGCGGCGCTGCATTCCATATGGAATTTAGCGTGAATAAACATGTTTTCGAGGTTAACAACTTGCCCTTTTACATACTTGTTGATGATGAAATCCAAAACCGAAATTTTTGTTTGAAATTTTGTTCTGCTTTCTCATGCAAATGTTCACATGTAAAGCCAGTAAAATTTATACGTTTAGGAAGTAAGTAATCAACCGGGTGACTCTCGATGGATTGAAGATATTAAGAAAGACTTAAATCGGCAATTTCCGGAGCATGTGATGTTTTCTCGTGCTGGTCCATATGGAAAAGGAGGGTATGTTTTGCTGTGGCAAAAATATGCTCGTTCTATCAGCAGGACACTTTCATCATTAAACTTTTTTTTACTACGGTTTCTTGCATAATAAATGTTGCTGATTCATTGCAGAATTGGAATTTTAGAGTTCTTATTCACTTGATTAGATTTACATAAATATGTTGCAGAAAATCAGATTTGTTCGAATTACTTAAGGCATACACGGTACTACATCCTGAGGAAGGTTACTGTCAAGGACAAGCTCCTGTTGCTGCTGTTTTGCTTATGCACATGCCACTGCGTGATGCTTTTTATTGCTTTGTACAAATTTGTCACAAATATTTGCCGGGTTACTACAGTGCCGGTCTTGTATGCTTTTTGAAAATTTTCTTTAAAGTTAAATGTGTTCGTCGCATGTTTACTTCTTCGTTCTGTGCTTTACTGAAACACTTCAGATAATTTTAGACGTGTAGCTTAGTTCTAATTTAATTTCTTATTCTTATGAAATGTCCAAAAAATGGGAAAGGATGATTAGTTATTTCCTAATTAAAGTAAGAGGAATAGAAGCAATTGTATCGAATGTTTGGGAATAGATGTGACTATGAATTTCAATAACAAAGTAACTTGTAATTTTGCTATTGCTCTATATATGTTTCTCCTTATTCTTAATGCTACTTATAGGAGGCTATACAAATCGATGGTGATATTTTATTTGAAGTGCTGAAAGACAAATCACACTTTAGTTATAGGCATTTGGTTCGTTTTTTTTTTTTTTTTTTTTTTTTTTTTTTTTGTACTAATAAACTTTTGTAAAGAAATTTAAAAGGAAAAATTCCCACAATAATGATTTTTTTGAAGAAAAAACATCGCGTTGAACCAGTACTTTATATGGTTGAATGGTTTATGTGTATTTTTTGCCGAACTCTTCCGTGGCCAACAGTACTTCGAGTGTGGGATATGTTTTTTTGCGAAGGTACATAAGTATATCAACTTTTCTCTTATGTAGTGAATATTATGAATGCAAGAAGTAAAAAAAGCTAATCCTGTATATATTTAGTAATTAAGTATTTATGGACGATGAAGATAAAAGACGATACCTGCGCTGTGTCAATATTCTGTCAATAAATTAACTTATAACTGATATTGCCTTTTTTATGTCTCTAACAAGTACTTTGTTGTGCTCACTGAGTTTCAATTTCAAGCATGTTGAAATGTAAAATATGGCTAATTTTAATGCTTATTGCATCTTTTATTAAAACGGTACTCAATGTCGCTCGGTTGATTCTGCACAGCTGTAGATGCTTACTAAGTGCAAAATCTTAATTTCTTAATTTGTTATTTATTGTTCACGAGTAAGTGCTTTCTGATTCTTGCATGGAAATTAATTGCTGTAAGCATCTGTTTTCTTCAATGCAAAAAATTGTAATATACTTCTAATACTCTATATTTCTTAATCGCGTAAAGTACTGAATAGTCTGAACGATTGACAAAGTTAACTTAGTGAGCTAATCATTAATTAAATGAAATCATTTAATAGATTTGAAAGATTATGTTAGGTAGTAGTGAATAAGATGATTATTTGCAGTGAACTGAATATATTAAAATTTCAGGCGTTAAAGTACTTTTCAAGGTAGCAGTGGTTTTGTTTCGCTACAGCCTTCGCACAAGTGACCAGCTTAGAGAGTTTAACGACTTCCATTCAATTGTGACACGACTGAAGAACCTTCCTGAAAAGATAATGACTGAAGATTTTCTTATTCAAAAGGTATCAGGAAGGCATTAGTTCGAGCAGTGTTTGTACAATTTCTTTTGATTAGCTGCTCTTTTTTCCCAAAGTAAACTGACCGACCATTGCTGGTAGTTAAAGATGGATGGATTGCAGGTTATCGACCTCGACTTGGACGATGTTGAAATGGAGAGGATTCATTTTAGAATTATGAAGACCAGACAACTGCGGATGAATCAATCATATGGAAATGACAAACTTCTCTGCTTTTGATATATCGGACGCGGCGGAGTTGTAAAAAGGGAAAACGACTGCATCGGCCGGGAATCGAACCCGGGCCGCCCGCGTGGCAGGCGAGCATTCTACCACTGAACCACCGATGCCACATATGATGTGCTGCGCAATTTTAGGAAATTGTATATATCAGTTTTGTATTGAAATGTATTCATAATAAGCAGTTAGTTTTAGTTCGAGAAGTGCCTTGTGGATATTTGATTGTGTTACTTTGATCAATTTTATGATGGTTCTTGTGAAATTTACAATATATTTCTGTTTTATTATGTATTATAATAAGATTATGGGTGACGAGTAAGCACTGTCGGATTATTTCAATGCCATGAAGACACTTATTTTTGTAATAGTCGTTGATAATGTATAACGGTTTTGTTATCATGTAATGAGGAGTGATGCATTTATGGGTACTACTAAACATGAATCAGTTCGTTTTTATTTCTGCTAGTAGTGTATAGTTTACTTAAACAAATATGAAAACATACAAGTTTGCTTCTGTTTTATGAAAGAGAGTAGTTAGGATGAAGCATGACATAGGGAAGTAATCATTAGCATAGAATTAGTAATTTATGTGCCTGAATTTTTATTTGTGTAATGTAACACTTATTTGTGTAATGGTCGTTGATAATGTATAACGGTTTTGTCATCATATCGTCAAGAAATATCTTTCATTTTTTTTTTTTTTTTCGTATTTCTTAATTTCTTCCTTTCATATTCCTTATTTGTTCATTCTTCTATTGAACTTTGAATATTAAATGCAAATTTATCTTAACATGACAGTTATCTTCTCAAGAAGTTACATTTAATAAATGAGAACACTGTTTCATCTTAAGGGTAATTTATGAAAATACAAACCTATCGGTTCTAGCGGGATGCACTGGTATCTGAATGTCTCTTAGATTCTCGTATAATTCAGACAGTTGTGGCACGTTCCCCACGTAATCCGTGAAGTCGCATTTGCAGCTATCAGTTTTTCATCAGTGAGTGGCAAACATGGACATTCTGTTGACGTATGGACGTGGCTCAGTCTGGCGGGAAAAAGTGTTGCACAGGGCGATAGGAAGGAGAGAGAGTGCGGAGGTATCGGAGAGGTAGACGAGCAGATGGAATGTAATCAATTGCAGTGGTTGTGTTGGGGGAAATCGGAGTTCGTGAGAGAGGGAGGGCGACGTTGGTAAGGTGAAGCGATACAGTAGTGGTCATCTGGTGTCCACTAGGGTGCGTGTCCACTCTGTGTGCATGCGAAGAGAATGCAAGATGCCTTCACCATCAGATTTTGCGTCTTATTTCTTCCTTGCATATTTTTTTGATGTAAGATTACTCTGTTTGATATAATGTAATGTAGGTGCGTGTTACAATACTTTAGCAACGTTTAGTATTGTTTATTATCGTTTAGTACATATATATATATATATATATATTTCTAAATTCTTATCAAATATGAATATTGTAACTCAAAGTCTTTGCTAGTTCTCTGCCTTCCTTCTTTCTGTCTTTCATGTAAATGTAACTTCATTGATGTGAATTCTGCCTATAGCATTATCAAATTAATAAGATTCAAGATGAATTATTCCACATGAAATTTAATATTCATTCATTTATTGGGATTATTTCCTGTGTGATAATAGAAATTTGTCAGTAAAAATTGTTGCTTTAAGTAAAGATATTATTCGATTTGATCATTTTATAGTTTGCGCAGTTGGCTGATTAATTGATTAAGTAACGCAGTTTCGTTTGGAAATAGTATTCGACAAGTGTGTGAGATAATTACAACGGTAACGAGCTAAATAATTCGAAATTAAATTTACAAATCAGCTAGCTGGTTGTGACTTTATCTAAGGTGGAAAATACTGTTGCTATATTTGACACAAATATATTCTAATTATTAGACGACAAGGATACCATCATGCCTCACAAACTTCAAAATGAGGTAAGATTTACATCCCCTTATTGTTTCTTCATTTAAATTTATATCTACAAGTTTCGCTGATTATGACTGTTTGCCAAAGCTATTTTGTTGATTATATTACAGTTTCTTAGTATAAATTTCATTTTTATTTATCAGCAGTGTTAAATTCGTCACCTCATGATTATTAGTAAATTTATTGCTTATGTAGTGTCACTTCTTTTTGTCAGTATATCCAAGAAATTTCTACAATCTGATAGTTTTTCAAATTATTTTCATATACTGCAAATGTATTAAATTGCACGTTAGAGTATAAGAAGCGAAATTTGAAAAATTCAGAATTAAAAACTTTGTAGAATATATATGAAGTACGAGGAGTTTATGCAAATCAGGAGCTGCTGGTACTGATAACGAAAATGATTGTAAGTTACATGAGAAATTATCTCCTTTTGTGTTTAACTGATTTGATGAGAAATATGCCATGCTCATAATAACCATAAATTGCTCTTTTCTGGTATTTTATGGTAATTTTGAAGTCAGAATGAAAATGGATTGAATCAAATTTACATCGATTAGCAAAATTATTGTAATTGTATGTTAATTTTTAGGGTAAGGAAGTGTTGCTTGAAACTCGTGATGGATTAACATTTGAAGGGATATTTGCAGGTTGCTCTCCGGATGTGGGTATTTCTTTTTGCATTGCATCCGTCATTTTATTGTTTTATATTTTGTCTGGGTGAACTAAAGCAATAAAGAGTTTAATTTTTAGCCACTTTGCTAGATGTATCTGATAATTTGCAGTTCGATGTTGGCTTGAGATACGCGCATGAAGTACTCACAGATGATCAAAAGAACTTGTTGCCTCATAAGGATCAAATTATTGAGAAACTTCAAATTGAAAGGGACTGTATTTATAGTGTGGGGGCAAAATATCGGGATGAAAAACGGATTGAAGGTTTTTTTCCATAATTGATTTGACTAACAAGTTATGCAATTTTATTGTAAAAGAAAACAAATACCTTAGAAAATACGATAAATTCAAGGATTTGCTACGGATCGTGAATATGCGGATCAGAGCGGTTCTGTGGCAGATATGGAACTGCAAGTATGGGAGTCCGAAGATGACTTTGACAGTGGTCTTCTATTAAACGATGATCAGGAAGATGGTTGGTCCGTTGAACAAATGTTTCAGGCAAATGATGTTCTGGGAGTCAAAAGCACGTTTGATGAAAATATGCCGGAATATGCTACGTAATTTTTTATTCCGTATTTTGTTGTATTCTTGGAAAATTTAACTATTATATGGACAAAGTTTAAATATTAAGAAATCCTTCTGTGTCCTCTGGTCCATTTTTTTTTATAGGACTTCAGCGCGTACTTCTATTGTTTATATGTTTAAATTATTTCTGGAATTTCAGAGCCGATGTGCAGGGTAATGCAGAAGATTTTAAGCGAGCAGAACGGATTGCGCAAGAAATCAATAGTAGCAGTGTAAGCAGAGCGCGTACACAACTAGAAAATGATGACGAAGAGCGTGATTTGGATAGGGAGACATCAGAATTTCAAATACAGCATAGTAATCGGAAAACATCTAACACAGGGTAAAAATGCATCCTATAAAAAATTATTGTTTACAGTAAGACATATCAATAGGACAATAAGCACTTATGAGATTTTGGCACAGGTGATTATTTTTACCATTCAGTAAGGTTTCTTGTGGTTTCGTAGATAATCATGAGGAAATAGTTCTAGGTTACCCGCACTGTATCCTGTTAAAAGCTCTTCGGTAAAAAATGGATCTAATATCTGTAATCCATTCAGACGTGGCAGCTATTCAGGGAATATTCGAGATAGAGGTGGCATGAATATAAACAGAGGGCCACCGAACGGTAGAAGATCGGAAGGTATGCCAGGTGCAGGAAGAGGTACGGTACTCACTCATGATTATAAAGATTTCAGTTTCTAGTATCTCACTGTTCTTGTTGGTTTAACTTATTTTTTTGTTTGCTGTTCAACCAGATTAATAGGAATCTGGAACAAACTGGAAAACTTCTAGGACGTGGATCATATGGATCCGGCAGTGGTTCATCACGTTTATTTACAAATTCATCAATGAGTCATGGAGTACGCCCTCAAAATTCGATTGGATCAGGGCCTATTTCGCGTTATGCACCTAGCGGTATTTTGGAGAGGCCGACGGCGCAGGAACTACACCTACAGTTTGGCCGTATGCTTTTTTTTTTTGCTACTTGAATATTAATATGGTATGTTGGACTTCAAAAGTCAACTTAAAGGAATTTACAGATTTTTGTTATTATGGTGAATAAAAAAACAAATCTGAGTACAAACCGCATTTGTATTCGAACTCATTTCTTTATTTATTCAGTTTCTATTCGCAATTGATTTATGTGTTACAGTACATTATCATTCTTTTGTGCACTTTACTGCATATCATCAGTAATTCAATCCATTTTTGTATTCTGTTGTTTCATTTCAGAGTGGGTTCGACGTGGTGAAAGTTCAGGTTCCGCTTCAGCCTCAGACAATGTAAGAGCTGGACGGCGGTCGGAGCAAGTTGGAAATAATACAAGGGTTTATGATCATCGTTTGATGACTGGTCAACATGAAGGACAACCTTCACGTGCTTTATTTATTAATTCATTCGTTTATTTACTTATCAGTATTTTGCCAAAGTTTGATTTAAAAACCTACCAAGAACAAAGTAGATGACTTCTTTATGTATTACCGTAGATATAGTATTTCACAAATGTTCATTTTATAGGTGATGAAAATAAGAACTTGCATTATTCGAATACATCAAATAGCATGGGTAGCGCTTCGCGACAACAAACATCAAAGCAAACAGAACGGGTCAGAAATTTAAAAGAATTTCATCAGAATTTCAACAGTACTTTCCAGCCATCGCATTCCGTGCATAACAGTGCAGATGATGTTCAGGTCCGTTGTCACAATTCACTGAACATCCCCTATCACAGTAATGGATTAACAAAAGTTGACACTGGATGCATATTCAGCAAGGCGCGTTATTACAAATAGTGCGCAAAATATTGAAAGAGACTGAAGCAGAAGAGTTGGGATTTTTTGTGGGAGTTTAGAGACAGTGTTACAGGAGTAGTACTAAATACGTGCCATTTTTAGCGTGCAAGCACCGTGCAGGGAACAACAACATCTGGGGTAGCACCCAGGCCTATTAATAATGCTTGGAATAAAGGACCTCCGCCTGGCATGCGAGCTCCATCTTCGTCTCAAATAGCCGTAAACCATCACCCAGGTTCAATTTTTCAAAGCATTTTTTAACCTTAATTTTTCATTAAGGTTATTTTATCCTTATGCTTTTCAATAAATGGTCACCGCTCAGAATTATCTGGATTACAGAAATTTCATCTGCTAGAGATGTGGAAACATCAGCCTCTGTAGTAGTAGTAGCAACAGCAGCAGCAGCAGCAGCAGCAACATCCTGTCCACCATGCTCAGATCAGCGGCCGCAGCAAGAGATCGTCAAGGCTGGAGGATCTGTACAAGCAACCATTAATTCTGGTGGCTGAATTAATTTTGTAGTAGCAGTGAGATCTTTCTAGCTCGTAATTTGCGCCTATTGTCCTATTGCTTTTTCACAATTAAATAAAGTTTGCAGAGTAGCTTCAGGTCGTTCAGTAGTAGCACCAGCAGATGTAGCGCTGACGGCAGTTTCTGAATCTCGTCCAAACAAGCCAACAACATCGACGATCCCTGGATCTAGTACGACACCACCTAGTATAGAAGCAACAGGAGTTGTGGTTTTAGATACGCAAACTGCAGCTACTTCTGTTACACCTCGAGAAATACAACAAACGCATCAGTTATCTGCTGCAGCTTCATCATCATCCATAGCACCCACAGATCCAACGCCTAGTGCTGTTGTCGCTGATATTGCAAAGACTACTGCAGTAAATTCTGTGACGACTACATCAGATGGGTAAAGTTATGAATACTTTTTCAACTGTTTTTCAGCACAATACTTGTATAGAGATGAAGTGATAGTGTGGTGTGCTGCCAACGATTTTAGACTTCCATTAAACTAGTACAGAAAAATTATGTGTCAAATATCAGGAAGCATTTCGTTTGGAATCCGGATGCACCATCATTTGTGCCCCGTAATTTAACTAACTGCCGCAACACTGAACCACAAAATCATCGTCCAGCATTGCATAGCGTTCGAACACCTCCCGCTGCACCTTTACCACTTATGTCAACACACATCGCAGCACCGGGACAAATGCAGGGCTTAGCTCTTGCCAATCCACAAGCCTTGTCTGTTCAGGTAGGCATTTGTATTATTTTGAACTATTATATAACTGTGGAATAACAAGTTCAGATGATTACTAACAGGTTGGTTAGCTACTTTAGTAAAAGCAGTTTTTCCCGTTTTGTTGGACAAAATTAGTAATTCAGTGAAGTTATTTACCTTCTTATTATGTTTCATTAATGTAACAGTACAGAAATCAAAATCGACATTTTTGGTCTTGGAAAACAATAAAAGGTTTGGTAGATTGTCATGAGTGCTGTTTAATAAAAGCAATTAATCTTCATTATGTTTTAGAATGTGCCATCAATTGCACATGCCGGACCACCACAAATGTTTCCTTATGCGCATGCTAACGCATATGGTGCTCTGCCGGTTTATTACAACACACCGGTTGTACAGGTATATTCATCTAAATATGATAAAACTTAAATTATAAGGAATATAAAGCATTACTCGAAGACAACTTATCTGCCTGCAATGAACTTCAGCTTTTTATAAAAGGAAAGGTGTTTAGTCGTATCGTTCTTATCTAAGTATTTTAGAGTACGCCAAGTGCCGCTGTAGCAACAGCAACTGCAGCAGCGAATGTTACGGGTGGCCCGATTGTTGCAAGTTCCACCGGTTTACCAATTGGTCGTCATGGACAAATGACTGGGCAAACACCTTCAACTAATCGACGGAATCAGCAGCAACAATTTATGCAAGGTGTTGCTGGTATGTATGTTCCTGGAGCCAGTCAACCTTATGCTCAGCAATTGATGTCACAGTATCAGGTGAGCAGTTTGGATACGATGATAGTTTAGCAGTCATTTGTAGATGAATAATTTATGGCTCCGAATTCTTTTTTTGCATACTAGGTGATATTTTGATGAAAGCTGGTATATATATAACTTTTCAAAGTTATAAATTTGGGAAGAGTATTTGCCGGGCTGCAGATTGCGAGTGTTTAAGCATCATTAATTCATATATATGTTGTTTGAATTAGCTTTTAGATCAAAATCAGTATGTTTACTTTGCTAAACATGTCTTTAAATATTCTTCAGTTTTTGTTTTATAGTATTAGTGATTTTGTTTAGATGCCATATTTCGCACCATATCCATCACAGCTCTCAATTGGAGCATCTAATATGCCACCACCGCCGATACCACCTCCATCCACGAATGCGGTTCTCACAGCTCCTCCACCCTATCAAATTATACAGGTTGGTAGAAACAGGAATAATAAGTGTTTAAGGAGCCGTACGTTATTATGATAATATTATCGACTGCAATACATCGAAGCCTGATGATACGGCATTTTGGAAAGAGTAGTCTGTGAAAAGTAACTGTACCTGGTAAAGCGAATTCGCTATAAATTAACATTGTTTGCGTGTTATTTTTACATTGCGCTAGGATGGTGATAGCCAGTTTTTGATGCAAATATGTATAATTACTGAATGTTGAATATTTCTTTATATCAAATATTTTTCTCCATTTACTTTACAGACTCAGACTCAACAGCCGAATGGTTTTCCACGACAGCTATATCAGGGTGATCATTCCGTCGTATGTTTTGTTGTCTTCACTCTATGGGCATTTATAAAATTCTTATCAAAAAATAATTTCATAGCTCCTTTTCATGTATTCATGCGACAGTGAATTATAGCCAAGAGAAAAGTTGCATTCTATCACATAAATTGGCCTATTATTTGCACATTATAGTGTGAATGAAAGTCGATTTGTGTGAAATAATATTTTCATTTTTTTTTAATTTTGATTTGTAGTGATATATTTTTCAGAATTACGTGATATCTCGTTTGCCGCAATCTCATCCAACTGTTGATTTTACTGGTAAGTGTTAAATGAGTTGAACTATTGTTCTGTGTCTATTTCTGATTTATTATAGTCAAGTTTATTAATCATTGCAGCGAACAAATTAAGCAATTTCTAAAGAAATGATCATTTTAGCGACGGCAGTGTCAACACAGCAACAGCCGCAGCAAGGATCAAGTGCTGCTTCGAGCAATGGCACAGGTTCAAATGGGCCTAACAGTCAACCGGCTACACCTGGACCTGTGGTTTCACCTCCCCAGGTAAAGAAATATCATTACATTATGACAGACCATTTCACCAGGCAAAATGTTTATCTTGCATTAATGATTCGGGGTTTTATGAAGTGAAAGAAGAATTTATGAACTTTTCGCTACTGTTCTTCATAAGCAATTGAATGATTATGAGTTATTGCTTTTTTGTATCTCGACCAACCATAATAATAGCAAACTGTTCAGAGATTTCAATATTAAATAGTTTCCAGAGTGATCCAAGTTACGGATGTAAGTAAATATTAAAATCTTTTTTTTCGATGGAAATTACTTTAATCGTTATTTTACTGTTGAATCTTTTTGATGTAAGCTGTTAATATGGTCAGACTGAGCCATTATTTCAAGTTTGAAAATTCCTGCTCCACCGATGAATTAATCAAGCAAGCAGTTAATTGTATTGTTATCGCCAGAGCGCTATGAATCCTCCAAAATTAATTGTTTAAGGATCGAGTGAATATGAAGCATGCTTTGTGTGTGTCTATGTGTGTATGTGGATGGGTGTATTTGTAGGTGTGTGTATGTATGTATGTGTGTATGTATGTATGTATGTATGTGTGTGTGTGTGTGTGTGTGTGTGTGTGTGTGTGTGTGTGTGTGTGTGTGTGTGTGTGTGTGTGTGTGTGTGTGTGTGTGTGTGTGTGTGCATGTATATGTATGTGAATTTGTACCAAATGCACTAAATGCACAATGTTTGTTTATCCACTTGTTAACTTATCCTGATTTAGTCCGCTTTTGTTCACTTTGCACCGTTCAAATAGGTACAACAACAACAGCAGCAGCCGGTGTCATTGTCACAGTATCCGCAGTCCGGGACGCCGCAATCGCCACATACTGTACTTATTCCACTTCCTCCTGGTGCAGCTCCACCAAACGCACAGCCGCACATGTACGTCCAAGCACCGGTTTGTTGTTTGTTTATATGTTCATCATTCACTCTTTTTCTCAATTAATTTACACTTGCGTATCTTAAAGATTGTTACATTTCAAAAGGTCATGATGACAAATGACACGATTCAAATGGAGCATAAGTGGGTTTTGTGGAAGTCAACAGTGTACACTAAAAGTGACGTGTGTGGTTGGCAAATCAGAAATTGTGGCGGCACATCAAAAAAAAAGCGGAAATAATGGATTTGTTAATGAAGGATGATCATCATCCTAAGCAACACTTGTTATGACATAACTCACTTTTAAATGAAAAATATGTTGCTGCACTGTTTTTTTTGGGAAAAGTGAATTCATGAATTGATCCCACAGTATATTTATTGATAGTGGGGTCTCACAGACTGAGATTTTCACTTGCATGTCATTCGTTATTTGTATTGGTGAAAGTATAATGACTGTGATTACTTCATGCGCAGCTAAGTGAATAAACTCACATCATCTCGTGTGGACTGATTTTGTCAGATGTGAATTTTTGGATTACAAAATGTTTGGACATTGCAAATATTCTTCATTTTGTTTTCTTTCTTCAACTAAAGAGGATAAGCAAACAGTAGATATAAATCTCTATGCAAATGTGGAAACCCGTCGATGATTTCTTCGTTGCAGCAATTTCCGTTCATTACTGCTGGACAGCCAGGCTTTGTGATGGCGTATGGTCCACAGCCAGTTGTTGTTCATCCCTCTGTCGCAGCACCGGCAGCGACGACGCATGTTCCATTTTCACAAGCACATCAAGTGCATGCACAAGTAAGAATTTGGCATTGTTTTTTGCAATGATCTTATGTTGAAAACAGTTACAGCTTGATTTTTTCTCTTGACAAATGTTTTTGTTGGATAACACTTCAGGCTCATTTGGGATCAATGGTCAGATCCGGTATTCAGTTATCCTAACAGTTCTGTTTATCTTTGGTATAAGGATCGTTCAGAGTTTTTTTTCAGCGATTTCTATAATGGGGTTTTTTCACAAATTTTTTTGTGATTGGAAGAAGTCTGGTTTTTTTGATGTTTCAGCCGAGTATGTTCGAACAGTTCCAAGGAGCAGCTGTTGAAGCAGCTGCTTTACAACAACCGCAGATACCAAGTACTTTACCTCATCAACCCTTTGTGGCTGGTGATCATTTTTATAGTCATTACGTGCATAGTAAGTGTTCTTCTTTCTCATACTGAATTAAGGAAAGTGAAAGTTGAAAGATATGTGTTGTTTTTGAAAAAGCAATCGAAATTTAAGATTTATTTGTGGTTCATTTGTAGGATTTGTCGTGCTTTTTTGGAATTTTACTTTTTTTTTTCAGCCCAGCATCAGCAGGGAGTATTCCAGCAACAGCAACAACAGCCGCCACAATCGCAGCAACAACAAGGAGGCAGTGCTGGATCAATACGCCATAATTCGGTAAACAGTGTGACCAGTGGACCGTCACATCAACAACACCAACCTTTTCAGCCTGGTGGTACTGTTCAAAATAATTCAGTTCCACCAAACGGTCAGTATTGCAAATTGTTTGGCTTTGACTATTTTCTGTGTTTTAAATAATCGCATTTATTTAAACTCATATTTACATAAAGCAAATCATGCACAACTTCAAATAACTTTGCTTCAAATCGGTGCAAAAACCGAAAAGCTGTGTTTTGAGCGCCAAACGGAATGTTTTTACATGAAATGTAACTGTAAGAATTCTTTTTAAACTAAAAAAGAAATTCTTATTAAACTAATCAGTTTTTACCTTTGCAAATAAGCAGTCGAAATTGCGATGCTCAGAAAAAACAGTTCTTGTTATTATCTTTTAATTTAATTTTGCTCTCGGTTCACTGTTCATCCATTTCCAACATCCTTTAAAATAGTAGTGTAAAGTAGTAGCTCTGGTCTTTGACCACGGGATTTGTTCAACATTTTCTTGTTAAACTTTAAATAAATTTCGTATGTTTCAGATGCTAATAATTGATGCTGGTTCGTGGTCATTTCATCAGAATATGCTGTTGTTATTTTTATTTGTTTATTCAAAGCACATTTGAGGATCTTTTTGCGCTTTTCTTCCGCGGTCTGAATGCACTTATTTCCGCAAAATTTACACTTTTTTTCTAAACACATATCTTTTTCACAAATATTTTTCGGGATATTTTTAACAAATCATGAATTTTTTTTCACTTCGAAAAATCTCTAGCAAAATATTGAAGTGATAGTGGAATGATTCATAGATTGAAGCATTTTATTTAATCAGACAAATTACAGTAAACTTTTGTAATTTGCTTTCTTATTAGGTTTGATCAACTCTAATTTCTTATGTCAGTTGTAAATTTTCCTTTACTGGATATATGATCTGCCAAGCTGTATATATAATCTGCCATGACGGTTTATCCTAGCATTGGGTACGCTGTGTTTTTCTTTTGTTTATTCTCCTGTTATTCCTTTTTCTCCCAAATATGGTTTTATTCTGGAACTTGTAACGTAACGTAACTTCACTAGTTTTTTCTTTTTCTTTCGAATAAGACTCAGTTTTGATCAACGGGCTTATTTTTATCTTTCTCCCGGTTCTCCAGTCTCTCCCTTTTTCTTTTTTCCTCATCTCAAGAATGCATGAATGTGCTATTGTGTATGTGATTTATACATTCTTGTTGCGGATTGTTTCCTCGCTTTCTTTTTTCCTTTAACCTAAAATTATGATTTAAGACTAGCAGTTTGTTTCTTCCAAATTACTTTCGTATTGAAACTGTAGAAAAAGAAAGAAAGGAGAAAACACTCTAAATTTATGATTTAACTCAAAGATGGTTATAAGCAATGTTTGAGTGATCGGTTATGTTTTGCTGATTTGCTCTAAATTTAAATTTAAAATCAGTTTTAGAAATTATCCTTTAAAGAGGAAAAATTCAGCAGTAAAGTTTCACTATTTTCAGAAACGAGAGTAAACGGTTGGGATTAACAACTGTTTTTATCATAAGAGTTTTTTTTCCTAGGTAGCTCTGTTCGGGGGAAAGAAACAGAACGAGATGAAGCGGAAGGTCCACCCTAATATTTATTAAATCCGAGTGATAATTTTCAGAGATGTGACTGAACGACATGATGATTTACTCCTTAGCTTCACTATTAATATATCGTTAAATTTCGGATTAAAATTTTCAAGCACCCAATTTTGAATTTGAAGCTTTTTCTGAAGTAAAAGAATTACTATTACAGAAAAGGGCTATTTGTCTTGTGAATTGTTCTAATTTCTAATGCTCTCCAGATGTGGACAATTATATATGTCAAATGTATTTAAGAAATAAAGAAGAGGCACGAGAGGTTTCCTTTTGTAGTGCACAGTGTAAATTGATATCGTTGCATCGAATGGCAGCAAGGCTATATTCAGATCACTATTAGTTTGTTAAAACATGCCGCATTTTAGCGAAATATGAATGAGTTTGTTTGCTGGTGAAAAGAAGGAGAGAATGCAAATAAGACTGAAAGGTGGTGCACAGAGATATTTGATAATTGAAAGGTTTCAAGCTGTAGGAGAGTTTGGCGTTGAAATTCTTGAGGCTAGTTCGTTTAGTAATGCCTGATGACTGCTTACTGTGTTTGTACTGTGGTGACATTGTAGCAGTTCATGAAATTAATTTATGTATCGGAGCTGATTAACTGTTAACTGTTGATTGGGCGAAGTTAAAGGTAGGTTCAAATTCATGTCCTATAAAAAGGTATCGTGTAGATTTAGATTAATCCAGATGAATAAAATGTCAGTGTTGAGGATTCGTTACGTAATGAATGGAGTTTTCTTGATAAGGAGTATTGGCAATGCTACGGGATTGTTGCAATTTAGCTTCATAGTGTTGTTATTAAGATATTACTAGAAATATTGTAAAGATGATTTTGCCAATAAACTTTCAAATTTCTAACTGATGTGACAAATGTAAAAAAAAAAAAAAAAAACAGAAAAGACGTAAAAACCAGCAGTTCCATACTAAAAAATCATTACTTCTTGCAAAGACAATGGAAAATTGTCCATCATAATCTATTGTTTCTTTTTTTTTTGTCTTAAGTGATTGTTTACAGAATTGACATTTTTGACTGATTGATTGTTAGGCATGGACAGTTCAAGTCATCAACCGACATTTCAGTAAGCTTATTGCATTACCTTAGTTTTATATAAAGAAACGTAAAAGTATAGAAGAGAGGAAGGGGATTCATTTTAGCTTTTGAAATTTGAAAGATTCATTTTAATTCAAGCAAAAGTTCTGTAACTTAGCATCATCTAGACATTTACAGATGTTTTCATTTTTAATATATATATTTGTGAGTTGCTTCAAGTAATTCCTTAAGTGGAAATACTACCAATTATAACGTGAAAAATTTAATAAATGTGGGTGGGTGAACATTTGCTAATGGTTGGAGGAAAAAAAGGTAATAAAATTATGTGAATGTTTTTGTATGTGTGTGTATATTTTTTTTTTATACATATTATATTATTCTGTATGCATGAAACATATAGGGAAGAATGGAAAGAATTTTTTGGACAGCGGGTGAATTTGAAACGAATAGAAAAAAGTTGTTTGAGTGGTAAACTTCGCGGTTCGCATGTTCGATCTATCATTTGGAGGGTTAGTTTCGTTAAACGTTTCTGAAGTCAAACTTATACATGTGAAATTCATTTTAAAATGTCAACAGAAGAAATAATTTTAAGGTTTACAGGTATGACATGCTGTGTAAACATATTTTAGATTTAGATTATTTCTTAAAAGATCACATTAATTGTAGCTAGCTTTCATTCCTAGATTTTACTTCGTTGTTTACCTCTTGAACGAGAAGAATGGTGCACGATTCTATCGCGAACCCGTAATTCATATAATAAATTGAAATGTGAGGTTAGTGTTAAGCATCTTTAAACATTAACTATGAATAATGTGGAATTCAAGTATTGTTTCGCACGACTGAAGTCGGCGAATCAAACAAAATTTGCCGATTCCGTATTATATATATTTTAAATATTTGGAATGCTTGGTGTGCACTATGTAAATTTTATTATCTATATTTTTAGCTATTAATGAATCCACGCGAGCAAACATCGGGCTTAGATCCAAATGTCAGTAATCCATTGTCACTTGGTGATGAGGTAGTGCATTTTACTTTGATCATTTTATCATTATGCTTCCTTCTTTTATACCGACATTTTTATTCATTTCTAGAATCCGTGGCAACAATATTTCAGTGACTGCAAGTTACGTGAATTTATAAATCGTGATGTGGAACGAACGTAAGTTTTTGTTTAAATGCAGTGCCAATTTCCCTTTTGATTTAAGTGGAGGCTTAAACAAGTTTCTATTATGGTTTGAAATTTGGGAAAAACTTTTTTTTCAGATTTCCAGAATTAGAATATTTTAAAAATGAGAATGTACGAACCATTATGTCGGATATTCTGTTTATATATGCGAAACAACATCCAGACATTGCATATAAGCAGGTAGTTTCATACATTCATATTTTCAAATTTAATAATGTATCAATGTGTAATTTTCTAGGGTATGCACGAAATACTTGCAACGCTGATTTTTGTCTTGAATTACGACCAACAAACGTTTGCTCATCTCATAGAACAAAATGGATTGAGGTGACTTGTTATGCTCGTAACATTGCTTTTTCATAAGCGTAAGAAAATTTTAAGCATAGTTCTTTCTGCTCATCTTTAAACTGGATATGATTGTTACTGAATTTCAGTTTTTGTATTTGTAGCAAATATATTTGTTTATTGCACTTCGTATGTAAAATATATTAATTAGTTATTAATTTTGGAAAATGAACCTCGTTTATTTGATAATTTAGTTTCCTATTTTGTTCCAAAATGTGAAATTTAGATGTTTTAGAGCGCTGTATTCATTTCAGAGAAGTACCACCAGAAGAGCTGAAAATTTTATGCGCTGTCAATAATCAGGACTTCCTTGAACACGACTCTTTGTTGGTTTTCATATTTTTTTTAGTATCAAGTGTTTATATGTGTATTTGCTTATAATTTTGTATTCACATTTTTAAGCAAAATTATGGAAAGCTTTTTTTTTACTAGCAGCGGGAAATCTAGGAGAAATTTAGGATTAGCTAGATATAATGCAGCGTAAAAAACAAAACATTCTTCAATCCAAAATTGCAAATTTTACTAGCATCAGCTTTTTTCCGTGTTTTCCAGTCATTTCGACTGCGCTCTGAAGATCATATTTATAACTGTCAGAAATTTTAGTATAACTTCTAGCGAATTCTAGAAACGTAAACGTTTTGCTTTGTGTCCAACAGTTAGCAGTATTTCCTTGCACTTTTTTGTTTCATTCTCCATAGAACACATATTTGCATTCTTGCACAACACAGTAAGCGTGTTGTCACCAAGCGTCATTTTTTTTTTTTTTTTATTTAAAGTGTTACTTCATTGGGCTTCTTTCTATTCATAGTGAAATATTCAATCAACTAATGATGATGTTGGAGCGATGGTATTTGGCTGGCGATGAGGAATATGTCGAATATTCCAGTCGTGTTTCTGGAAATAATGGGAAATTAGGCCATTCCATGCCATTTGTTAGTCCAGATGATCCTTCTGCTGATCCGAGAAATGAATTAATTATTAAGCTTCGAAGTATTACAAACGATATATTGGCAGTAATTGATCCGGCCATGCATCAGCATCTTTCAAAATTGAAGATTTTACCACAGATTTATGGAATGTTAGTCAAAATTTACTTTCGAACTATCACATCATTTTTTTTTTTAGATTTGTGAACGAATAAATAATTTCTCATATCATTGTTGAAATTACAAGGATGAAAAGATTACGTGAAGATATTTATGTGAAGTTCCGCAAACTGAGAAATTAACATCTTTCCGTTTGCTTTTAAATTATCGTGTACGATAGATTGTTTTGAAGTATTTCATAATAAAACTTTGATGATTAAAGATTTTAGTTAAATAGTCCTATAGGAATCACCAGTTCAA